TATGGTTTCATTTTTCATGGAGGATTAACCTTGTTAGTGTAGGGTGAGGTGGAATTTTGACTTCCTTCCTCCACACCCTTCAAAAACCAGACTTCAGGGCTCTCTCAAAGCATTAGAGGATGATCACTTTGAGAAAGAATGCTCTCTTTTGAGTGTATTCATTCAGGGTATGGGGGATGCACATCACAAAACCAGAAAATCCAATGAAAGGTAGGTCAGATGGAGGCAACTTGACCTCTTCGGTGACTCACTGAGTTTTGTTGACTTCACACCTCGGGGAGCCCAGAGGTTCCCTGTGAAATGGCTTTCGTTTCTACTCTCTTTGGAATATATGGGTAATAACTGAGTTAACCTGGGTTTGTATCTTATTTCAAAAGCCCCGTTGAGAAGCGTTGCAGACATAAGGCCTGTGAATTGGTGTATGGCAGATAGCATGTTACTGCATTGGGAAGTTCCACTTGAAAACGAGATCCCACACTTGGTGGAACTGCCAGATTCATGGTCGTTGTCTTCCAGAAGTGAGCTAAGGGAGTTAAACGCCGGATGGAGGCAGAAGAGAGCCAGCTTCTGACTGAAGGGTCCCCTGGGGAAACCCCAGGGAGGCCACCCTGCTCCGTGATGTCCCCACAGCCCCCTTAGCAGACTTAGATTCATGTTTCTCCAGAATAGCATAAGTCACCTATCTCCTTAGAGTAGATTGGCTAATGATTTGATGGTGCCTCAGAGGAACAGGGTGTGCAGGGGTGTTCTTAAAGTCTGGAGTGTTGGTCTCTGATTAGTGAAGACTTTCTTAGATATAAGTGTTTTATTTTTTATTTTTTGGTGAGGAAGATTGGCTCTCAGCTAATATCTGTACCCATCTTCCTCTATTTTGTATGTGGGACACTTGCCACAGCATGGCTTGGTGAGCAATGTCTAGGTACGTACCTGGCATCTGAACCTGTGAATGCCAGGTTACCAAAGTGGAGCGTGTGAACTTAACCACTACACCACCAGGTTGGCCCCTGGTGTAAGTGTCTTAATGTGTTGGAGATAAATCCCTACATGACAATAACAATAGTAAATATTTTGTGAAACTGTTATAAAGAAGCCATATATAAAATAAACATTTTTTGTTAATTCTCTTAAGGGCTTTTGTAACTGGGGGATGGAAATGGTTTAAAATGGTTTTTCTCTGATGGTTTTATTTATTGAAGCATAGTTGAGGTACAATATTATGTTAGCTTCAGGTGTACAACATTTTCTCTCATGTTTTACACTGATACTTTCAGATGTCTTTATGAGGTTATTTGACATCTTTGTCTCTGACTTATGCTCATAGCAAACCCACAGAGGGGTGTTACGTGAGGGCTCTTGTAGCAACGGAGGCCTTGCAGGAATGTGCAGAGGGACCCTTGCCGTGAGGCCTGTGGGCTGTGCTCTCGCCCTTCGCTTAGTGTGCAGGGGCCTGGACGGGGCCTCGCTCACACGGGTCTGTGTGTGGCACCTTTGGCACGTGCACAGCGTGCGTGTGTGTGAGGGTGTGTCTCACAGCAGATGCTGCTCCCTTGGGTGTGTCTGTTTAACAAAATAATTTTGGCCCATGGTTTGTGTGTCTAAGGATTCCTGGCATCTCAGTCTTTTCTGGCTTCATAACCCTGTTTACATGTGGCTCTGCCCCTCTCAGGGTGGAAGGCAAGGTCTTATTAGCATTGGGGTCTGTTTACTTCAGGAGATCATTTAACTTTCTTTTTTTTTTCTGTTTTTTTTAAAGACTGGCACCTGAGCTAACAACTGTTTCCAATCTTTTTTTTTTTTTCCTGCTTTATCTCCCCAAATTCCCCTGGTACATAGTTGTATATCTTAGTTGCAGGTCCTTCTAGTTGTGGCATGTGGGATGCCGCCTCAGCACAGCCTGACGAGTGGTGCCATGTCCGTGCCCAGGATCTGAACCAGTGAAACCCTGGGCCGCCGAAGGCGGAGCGTGTGAGCTTAACCACTCGGCCACAGGGCTGGCCCCTAACTTTCTATTTAAACATATAAAACGTGAACTTTCTGAAAGGAGACAGGATTAAACTAATTGTTTCCCACCCGTGGGAGTTTTTAGATAGAATTTAGGGAAGAAAGATCCTGGAAGGAGAAGCACGCAGGTGCCCCAGTTTACTGGAGCCCTCCCTGCAGGTCGGGTTGCTCGCTCAGTGTCGGGCCCTTCACCTGTGAGAACACGGGCTTGGACCACGTCCCCTCTGAGCCCGGGTGCAGTGGTGACATTTTCATCTGATTGTATTGTGTTACAGTATTTTCCCTTTAGTAGGAGATGGAAACCCAGAAGTTAACACATACACATGCTGCTGAATTGTAAAACTCTTAGAATAATTCATTGACAGCAGCAGGATTCCAAGGCTTTTTTCCGTTTGAGGGTCGTGGGAACAGTTGTGTAGTAGGCAACACACTGTCTAAGGTCCTCTTAGTCTGTCGCCGCTGTTCTTTGCACGGGTCCTCGATGGCCTCCCCTTGTGTTGGGAGTAGCGAGCTTTAGAATTCCCTGCTCGTCCTGCCTCGTGTGTCTTTTTGAAGCTTGATCACAAGTGTGTGGTTATTCACAGCATTTTCTGATTTATTTTACTTTTTAAATTGTGAAATACACACAAAGAAGAGTGTTTACGGCATCCATGTACACTTTAAACAGTAACAGTAATAACACCACTGTATCCATACCAAGCTTAAGGAAAAGAATGTTTCCCCAGCTCCTTTTGCGGCTCCTGCCCCTGTCTGAAGCCACCCCCGCCCCCTGAGCCCCCCTCAGCTCCACCGTGAAAGTTTGGGGGCTCATCCTGCCTGTGCATTCCTTCCAGTCCCACCACACACGTGCATATCCCGGGCGAGTCCCCGTGGAGTCGCCCGTTTCTGCGCTTCCTGTTCCTAGGAAGGAAGCATACTGTGTATATTCTTCTCTAACTTGCTTCTTTTGCTCAGTAGTGTTTTTGAGAGTCGTACTTGTTAACTGGTAGCTGTTATTCATCAGTGGTTACTGCTGAATTGTTTTAATGTACCATTTTATTCTATCGTCAATGGACTTTTATCTTTCTAGTTTTTACATTTATTTCGTTGTTGTTGTTAAGAACCATTTAATGACATGGAAAATCCTTTTGCAATGTTAAAAGAAAGTTAGCAACTTCCCAAATGCTTAATTCAATCTTTCTTAAAGGCATTTGTGCTCTCTTTGGAAAAAACCTTTCAGGGGAAAAATAAGTCAAGTTAATGTTAGGATTCCATATATTACTACCAGATAATGAGAATTTCACAGCAAAACCATTATCTAGAACACTTCAGTTCCTGTGTCGGGGGGAACTGAGTGAAGTCCCCTGAATGAAGGAATCAGAATTTCATTGTGGAAATTAGAAGCAGATGCTTCTAAGTTGGAAGATTTTCCCTGAGAACAGCACTTTTTGTTGGCGGTGTCATGCTAGAAATTCATCTTGGTTGAAAGGAATTTTTGTCCCTGGTTGCTAAACCTGATATGAGTTTTGAATACAGATGGCTGTGAAAAAATAAAGTTTTTGTGGTTTAAAATGCATGAGTTTTACCATCGCTTCTGCTCTTCTTGTGGGCTGCCTATCTTGCATCTCCCCTCTCTCCCAGCTTCCCAGAGGGACCCAGGTTTTGGATGTCCATGTCCTTCAGGGAAAGTGAATCCCACCCCCAGCTCCAGCTCTCGAGATGGGCCCTGGGGCTGACGCTGGTCTGACTGTGCCATGCCCCTGCCACTGCACAGCAGCTTGGGACCCGAGACCCCCAGCTAGGGCGAGTGTCAGAGCTCATCTTTGCCTCCAGGTTCTGGTCCATGTGGCCACTGAGAGATGCAGCCTTAACGTGAAGTGACCAAGGCACCAGGAAGAAGCTGGTGACATCGCAAGCCACCACATCAAACCACCCACAAGCCCACTGTCTACTTCTAGGCTTCAAGTTACTTTGACTTTTATAAACTCCTCTGTATCATTCAAGTAGTTTACTAATAGTTAACACTTAGATAGTGTATACCATATGACTTGCAACATCCTGTAAAGTAGATACTGTTGTTATTTCCATCTTACAGATATGGAAGCTGAGATGTAGAGGGGTGAAGAGACCTGTCCAGGCTCATACAGCTAGTAAGTAGCTGGCTGAGAGTCGAACCCAGTCAGTCTGGCTGCAGAGTCCGGGGTTAAGTTGGATATTTTTGGTACTTGCAGCTTAATGCGTCCCAACTGAAGGATCTTTTCTGTGCTTGCACACAGGCTGGTTTAACCCGGTGCACAGGGAGACCTTCCTCGAAACTGTATTTTGTTGACGGTGTTGGAGAGTAGTATCTCCCATTACGTTCAGCCGCTAAATTTAAAAACAAGAAGAAATGTTTGCCTTTTTCTTTGTAACTGACACACAGAAAATGTTCAGTAAGCTCTTGCCAATACTGACTCCCATTGCTGCGGTGGGGGTGAGGGCTTGCCTCTTAACGTAATTTTAATCTTAATTGCTGGGGAATTTGTTCACATTTCTGGTGAATTTCTAAATCATTCAGCACGTCGTGCTGGGTGCCTGTTACAGACCCAGTACTGTCCCAGGCATTAGAGACCTAGAGATGCTGATAGGTCGCGACCTTGAGGGGATGCTGGTCCTAGTGGGGAGAGAGACTCGCCAACAAGGACAGGTGCCAAGAGTGCAGGAGGAGCGCCCTCAGCCCCCTGCTGGCGTGCTTCCCGGATGGCATCTTCGCTTTTCCAGGGAGAAGAAGATACTTTGTGTTTTGTTTTGGTTTTGTTTGTTTTCCGTGAGGAAGATTGGCCCTGACCTGACATCTATTCCCACTCCTCCTCTTTCTTTTGGCTTGAGGAAGATTGGCCCTGAGCTAACATCTGTGCCAGTCTTCCTTTGCTTTCTGTGGGGGACACCACCACAGCGTGGCCATGAGTGGAGCAGGTCCACACCTGGGATCTGAACCGCGAACCTAGGCTGCCGAAGCAGAGCACAAACTTAACCACTCGGCCTCGGGCCGGCCCCCTGCCTGGTTTTTGTTCTTTTGGAGGTGGGTGGTGGGCAGGATAGTATAAAGGGAGGATATTACAGGCAGAGGAAACAGTGTGGTCCAAAGCAGAGAAATACGAGAGCAGGTCCTTTGAGGGAGCCACTGGGGAGCCCTTGCAGCAGTACAGAGCGTGAGTTAGAGAATGTCACACTGAGGACGGAGGGACCGACGGTGAGAGATTGCTGTGCCTTAGTGTGGCAGTGTTGTCCCGTGGAAGGTCTCTGTGCCTTAGCGTGGCAGTGTCGTCCCGTGGAAGGTCTCTGTGCCTTAGCGTGGCGGTGTTGTCCCGTGGAAGGTCTCTGTGCCTTAGCGTGGCAGTGTCGTCCCGTGGAAGGTCTCTGTGCCTTAGCGTGGCGGTGTCGTCCCGTGGAAGGTCTCTGTGCCTTAGCGTGGCGGTGTCATCCCGTGGAAGATCTCTGTGCCTTAGCGTGGCGGTGTTGTCCCGTGGAAGTGCTGTAGTGCCGAAGGGGGCAGCTGGGTGATGCACAAGGTCAGAGCAGGTGTCATGAGGTGGCCTGGCTGCGTTGCGGGCTGCAGATTTGAAGAATGAGACGGGACTTGCAGATCTGGGAGAGAACACGCTGAGGGCCACGGTGGAGGGGGGGAGCCACTGAACAACGGCCGGGACAGAGGGATGACTTTCTTTTTCTCACTAAGATTGTTTAAATGTGTATGGGGCACCTAAGTCTGTCCCAGCTGTTCGACCTTAGGGGTCACTTTTGTTATCTTCCTCTCCCTCGCTTTCTTTGGGCCTTATGTTTGGAAAGATCGTCTATCAAAATAAGTCATTTGTTTTCATTTTTTAAATCTGACACATAAAACTAAATGTGTTATCAAAATAGGCACTGAAAAATGATGTTAAAGTTCCTTAGGTGAATGGTCTTTTAATGTCCCTTGATATTATTGTGGGTAAACACGCAAGTTTTCTCAGGCTTTTTGAGATATTTGAAGTAACTGTGAAGAGTCCCATCACTTCTTCCGTGAACCCAGGACAGAAGCCATTGCAGTTGTTGGTTGAGTGAGTTATGCTTATTACTGTTCTCTTTAGAGAGTGTACCAGAATCGGGCTTTCAGAAGTGTGTTTTTAAGTTCAAGGGTAAAATGAAGTGCTTTCATTTTCCTGAGCACTGCTGTTGTTTCTCCCTTTGCTTTGCCTCTGTAATCAAGTGGATAAAGTGAGTGTGGTCCTAGCAGAACGTGATGCCCAAGAAGGGGAAAGTGCAAAGACTGGGAGTCAGAGAACCACAGGTGCAGGGGAGCACTCCCAGCCTGCCTTCTCCTGGCTCCGGGCTCTGTGTGTGTTCGTGGGGCGCAGCGCAGACCCTGTTGGGGCCAGGCCCCTCTCCTGCCTCCCCCAGGCGCCTTACCTGTGATGCCCCCTCCTGGGCCACTCCTTCTCCCTGCTGCTCTCCGTGAGCTCCTCCTGGAGTGCTGTGCTCCCTCAGCTCCCAGCCTTGGCAAATCCAGGACCCTCGTGGTACCACGCAGTTCAGCATTTAACTTAACGTACAATCATGTTATCTCCTCTTGTTTCACTGTGTTAATCTTGACTCTTCAAAGAGATTATAAGCTCTCTAAGGAACAGAATCTAGAAATGGCGTGAGAGACAGGAAATAGTGCAGTCTAACAAAGTGCCGGAGGGCTCAATTCGGTTGGCTCTGCTCGTTCGCTGACTAGCAGAACACCTGGGGTCTTTTTCTTTCTTTTCTTTATTTTTTTAAATAGGGGCTTTTTAAATTTCTTCTAGTTCTATTATAAAAACATATTGAAATGGTAGTTTTTGGCTATAGGTATTTGTGATTTGGGGATAATGTGCTCAATAAATTTTTTTTTTGTTATTGATGTTATTTTTGATATAGTATAATTTACTAATGCATTCCTGTTGTTCGACTATTTAGATATTTTTCCCATTTTTACTCTGATGGATAGTGGTTCAGGGAGGACTTTTGTTCAAAAGTGTGGTTTGCTTTAGTTGAAGTACTTCCTTCTATATATCCCCCAGAAGTTGGATTATTGGGTCAAAAGACATGAACATGTTTATGAGTCTTCCTGCAAAGTTCTATTGATTGCAGTGACTTACGTGCCAGCCACAGCTTACGAGTACAGTGATGTCACTGATTTTTCTCCTTGTTTGCAGTGTACGGCTCTTTGCCTGTCTTTCTCATATTCTCCCTTCTCTGTAGCCAAGGATTAGCCACATAATTTTATTCTTTAAAGGATGATAAGCATTGCTTGGCACCAGTACAAGTCCGCTTTAATTGGAAGGTTCTTTTTCATTCGTGGTCCCAAGGTATTGCAAATCTCATTGGCTAAATACAGAAATGAAATAATGTGTTAGTTGCTAATAGAAAAGTACCATTTATTTTAGGGCTCAGGATGTGATTCATGACAGAATAGATAGATTATGACCACCACCCGTTACCAAAAGGCAGTTCTTCCGCTTGCTTTCCACGATGTGAAGACAGTAATGTTACTTGGTAGTAAATGAGTAATGCATTTAATAATCTTCACAATAGTCCCGTTCCTGAGACGAGAAAAATGGACGCAAAGAAGTAGAGACTCCCCAGGGGCACCCAGGCGGCAAGTGCCAGAGCTGGGGGCCCGTCCAGGCCGTCTGGCTCCAGAGTCCAGGCTCTAAGGTCTGTTGCTCTGTCCCTCTTTCCAAACTCAAGCTTTCTGTGGACTCAGTGATTACGTTTCAAGTATAGTTATTGTAGTATATGTACGTATCTACACGGGCACGTATTTAGATACATGTATATGTAAAATACATATGTTTACATATTTAAAATAGATAAAATATACATATATTTACATATGTACATTTCATACAGTAACTGTTATTACAATAACTGCATTTTAAGTGACATCACTGCTGCTTTTGTCATATACAGTCTGGTCACAGCCTCTGTTAGATTACATTTGGTAATTAGTTAATGATTTTCCCTTACCAAATTTATAGAATAGGCCCCAAACTAAGCTGTTTTTACCAAAATTTCTATAACTATACCATAAACTGACCAATGCCCAAATTATATATCAACCATAGTTTCCAGTTACTTTCTTTGCAGAAAAAGCACTTTTTTTTTGCAGCTACTGTAATTTATTACAAATGGACAGTACAATAAAAGCACATTTCAGCACAATTCTGTGAAAACATATTGTGATCTTTAATAAGATTGTATTATTCAGTCACAAATTAGCATTCAAGATGAGATGTTCTCTTTTTGCTGGAAATTGCTGTGAGGAATTGATAGCGCTGTCTGCCTTGCTGGCCTTCAGTGAACTTGTGCGTTCTTCCCCTGGTCACGTGCCCCTGTAGTGCCCCTGGAGGGTGCTGGTGTCCTGACAGCAGCTCCACCACCTGAACCTTTCAGTTATTAAGAGGTGTCTTCCATCTTCCAGGTCTTCTCTGCTGATGATGAATATCACCCGTAGTGAACAGTCTCCTTTGTTTGAGAGAGAAACTTTAAAACGTAGAGCATTTTTTTTCAAGTAAATATTGATGTTGGTAGCCAGTGGTAGTAGACACTTGGTGAATCAGTGAGTGAGTGCCTCACATGGTAAGTCAGCTCCTTGTTTGGATGGGCTGTGTTAGAGAGGACTTGCTCAGTTACAAAGGGGCAGTATTAGCTTGAGAGAAAAGATAATTTATTGGCTCACTGTGGGAATTCCTAGGAGTGGCTTCTGGCTTCAGACGCAGCTAGATGCAGTGTTTCAAGTGACGTAGTCAAGACTTCTGAGCTTTGCTTTCTTCTTGTTGGCATCCTTCTTCAGCAAGGCTTTTACCCCATAAAGATGGTGGCAGCCCCTCCAGGCTCCTGTCGTTCTTATAAATAACAGTCCAAATGCCGAAGCAGCCCTCCACGCCAGCTTTTGTATAACAGATTTCATGGAGGAATTCTGGGTTTGCGTGGGTTGTATGTTCATCATTTAGACCAATTACGGTGACTGGAGAATGGGGTACCCTGTTTGGCCAGCCCTGGGTCACATCCCTACCCTACATCTTCTTCCACCGTCCAGAGTAGACAGCACGCTGTGATTGATAGCCCACTGGAAACATCTGGGCTGGCACAGGGGCACTCCCTAGTGGAAAGATGGTGCCAGACCAATGAAAAGAGATGTCCTCTACGTTCCATCCCGTGGTCAGCCAACACACATTTGAACCTGTGCATTCATACATGCTTTCTCTTTTTTAATACGTAAGATTTCAAAGAGGTCACCACCTAATATAATGCAACTGTCCCATTTACTTAACGTCCCTAACCCAAAGTAGACTTCCCAAAATTTAGCTTAGTTACTGCATCTAGCTCTCAATTCCAGATCTCTAGGTGATGTGGATTCTTGATCAGTGGTAGATTGGTTGTAGATGTGCCTTCTCACTCACGACTCGCTGTTATTTTAATGAACATCCCCTCAACAACGTGATATCAGCACTTTATCCGTTATCTCATCCAGTCTTTCCAATAATCCTGAGAGGCCACTATTTCAGATTTTACAGATGGAGAATCTCAGGTGAGAAGCTAGTGTTTGTAGAATCCAGATTAGGACCCAAGTTTGACTGACTGTGGAGGTTAAGTCTGTCTTAGCCAGTGTTCTGTCCGTGTTGTCTCTAGACAGCTGAGGTCCAGCCATCTGGGAAGTGATCGCAAGCTTCCAGCAGTCCCTCGCTCGCCTGCTAGAGCAGCGGGTGGAGGACGGGAGACGGCAGCAGAGTCCGATGTTCTTTCCAGAGGGCTGGGCTCCACACAGTTGGCAGATGCCACCTATGTTCTCTTTTAGGTGAAACGGTAACTGCAAAACAGGCCATGAAGTAGAAGGTGTTCAGCTTACCTGTTCTTCAGGGCGAGAAAAGTGACCCTACTTAAGGGAGAAAATCCTTGTAATACAGAGCACACAGACAACTTGAAGGTCGGGTGTCAGAGTCCAGGCCAGGTTCCGTATTTCCAGGTACTAGAGTGAAAATATAGGCTCTCCAGGAGCGAGTGCCTGGTGAAGGTGGAGGTGTGCTCAGGTGAGACGTTGGGTAATACACTGCACTGAGAATTCCTTTCAAGAACCTGAACTTCAAAGCTGTTTTTTTTCCCTCCCCAAGGCTGTGGTGCGTGGTTGTGTGTCCTCGTTGTAGCTTCTAGTTCTTCTGTGTGAGCTGCTGCCACAGCACGGCTGCTGACTCGCGAGCGGTGTGGTTCCACCCCAAGAACTGAACCCAGGCTGCCGAAGCAGAGCACGCTGGGCTTTACCGGCCAGGCCCTCGGGGCCAGCTCAGAGCTGTGCTGAAGCCAGAGGCCGGTAGACGTTCAGGAGGAGGTTCAAGCACAGTTTCTGAGTTTGGAACACGATTGCTGAGCCTTCAGTTGGAAAACCAGTGTTTGGTAAGAGTTGTGCCGTTACTTAACAACAGCTGGATGATGGAAAACAGCCTGTGGCTCTGAGAAAGCCTGTGGAGCGCTGGTTCTCAGCAGTGGGTGGTTTTCCCCAGGGGTGTTGGCGCATCTGGAGACAGTTTGGGCCATCACACTGGGAGGTGGGGAGGTGCCCCTGACGTCTGGTGGGCAGAGCCAGGGACGCTGCTGAACACCCTGCAGTGCGCAGGGCGGCCCCACTGCAGAGGATGTTAGGCCCATAATGTCCATAGTGCCAGGGCTAAGGAACCCTGCTCTGGAATCTTCCCCGTCCGAGGACATGTGTAGTAAGCCGAACAGTCAGCATTTAGCAGCATATCCTGTATGCCTGCCACTGGAGATTAAAAATGTACGTACGTGTAGCCAGTGGCCTGGCTCCGAGGAGATCTGAGGAGATGAGGTAGAGGAGAGCAGTAAAACTTCCTCCTGAGCCCGAGGTAGTCTCAGGGCCAGCCCCGATTCCAGGGGAGGGAAGGGATCCCACCTCTGAATGGGAAGCTTGGCGAAGAGTTGATGGTTTTCTTTATTATACGTAAGTCCTTAACGGCACCTGACACAGCAAGTATGTAGTAAACGTCAGCTTTAGTCAGTGCTGCTCCTCACCTTTTCTGAACAGTACGTGAGCCTTGCCGTTTACTTTCCTTCTGCTTGAAAAACTTCCCTGGGGTGGATGGATGGACGGACGGATGGATGGACGGAAATGACATCCCTCTCTTCATTCTGGCATCTGCTTCAATATTGACTTGTCAGAGGTGCTTCCTCTGATACCATGTCTGAAATGGCACCCACACGACCACCTTGTCTCCATCACCTCTCTCACGTGCTCTGGGTTTAGTTTTTCTTTGTCGCTGATACCAGTGTCTACATTACGTATGTGTTGTCTGTCTGCATTAGAGCAGAGTATTGCTTTGTCCGGTGCTGTGCACTCAGCACCTACAACAGCACGTGGCAGACAGTAGGTGTTTGATGAGTGAACATAAAAGAAACCCCGCTCATTTTACCCAAGGCATCTTGATATTCCTTTTAGGGCACCGTGCATTAAGACTGTACTCTTGGAGCTGGCCCCGTGGCTGAAGTTCCATGTGCTCTGCTTTGGTGGCCCGGGGTTCGGGGGTTCGGATCCCAGGTGTGGACCTGCTCCACTCATCAGCCACACCGTGGAGGTGTCCCACATACAAGTACAGGGAGATTAGCACAGATGTTAGCTCAGGGTGAATCTTCTTCACACACAAAAAAGGACTGTACGCTCTTTATCCCATGATGATCCTGGCCGCGGCATTCACGGACTCAGTGCTGCCATCTGTCACGCCTCCCCGTGCCTTGCCCACTGGGGCCCGCGTGCTCTTGGGAGCAGGAACAGCGTCCTCACCTTCGGCTTCTTGGCGGTGGTGTGTCCCTGACTGGACACTGAGCTCACGGGTGTGGGGGCACGTCTTCTGTTGCCTCTGTGTTCTGCTTTCAGCGAATGGGCACTGCCCTTCTCTGTGTCACTGGGGCCTCGTAGATGTGGGGTGGTTCAGTTGGAAGGTGGGACTGGCTGCAGTCCCCTTTTCCAGGATGCTTTTTCGCATTGTTTTTGTTAGGTAGTAAAGGTACCTTTTGACTGTTGAATATGCCTACTAACCTTGCCTCCTTAGAGTCATCTTCTGATCAGATTACCATCTTTCACTTTTTTAGGGTGACAGTCTCAGCATTGAGAATCCTCCAAAGTAAGGCTGTGTTATGTGGGCAGGAAATTTCTGGTGACCTAGTTGTTTGTTTTTTTTACTTTTTTTATTTCAGAATACTTTTAGATACACTAGAGTATCAAAGACAGTACAGAGAGTTCCCCTATGCCCCTGTTACCTCTTACACGACTGTGGTACATTTGTTACAACTGATGAACCAGGAGTGATACACTGTAATGAACTGAAGTCTGTACTTTTATTGCGAGGTGACCCAGTTTTAAAGGTTGTTTTCAATAATTTATAAAAAAATGGAAATCAGTATTGATTGTCCACAGGTGGTTAGCTTCCTGATTCTTAAAAGAAATGTAACTTTGTAACCAATGGGGGCTTATCAGGAAATAAGGGACTTTCAATAATGTGGGTTTAAAATTCAAGTGAGGGATCTGATAGCTTAACGTACTTTGTAAGTGGGGTATTAATAAAAAAGGCAGGTGGGGTTGGATCCCTGTTGAAGCTCTTCAGTTGTTGCCTGGGAGACAGGACACTGCCACGCGGCCTGCTCTGCCTAGGTCGTCTCTCCTCAGATCCTTGGACAGGAGAGGCTGCCCTGGGCGGGAGCTGTGCCCTCCAAGGTCGAGCTGGGACCTAGCATAGGACACAGAATAGGTGGCCGGTGGCTGAGAGGCTGATCTTTCAGTTCACGTTGGCGTACGTTTTGTCTGATTCTTTTCCCCAAGACTGCCCTGTTGAAAATTAAATTGTGTCCTGGAGCAGGTGTGGGTATTCTGCTGTTTCAGTGGAGCCTTCGAACCCACTCTAATGCAGTCCTGGGTGAAGTACGAACTTAATCCCCGTCTCCCCCACGGCCTGTCTGGTTTGCCATCCTCAGAACAGAGAAAGCAGCCGTGAAGCAGGACTGTTTCTCAAAGACTCTGCTTTCATTAAGTTTTCTTCAAAAATCCTCTTCCAGTCTTTTTTTGCTGCATTGTTTGAATCATAAAATAAATAAAAATTGTACTCAAATGAAATTTTGAAATTATTTTAATGAAGCTCTGGAAACATCCCAAACCTTAGAACATGTTTTTTCCATAGTTTATTTTTTAAATTCTAGAAAGTAGGTCAGTAGAAAAAACCCCTTAAATTAGTTCAGTTAGAAATGGAAAATTGTAGGAGTAACTCAGTTTGAAGTATAGATTTAAATAAGAAGGATTATACTGGGGTTAATGTCATAAGGGTTTGAATTTAAGTAAGATGCATTTAATCATAGCTTATAATTTCTTCTTGAGAAGATTTTAATAGCAGAGAGGAGGCCTAAGTGTTGGAATATATAAATACATAGGGAAAAAATTTCCATGAAATATAACATTTGACAAGGAGATTGTTTTGGAACTATATTTCTCAGGTGGAATATCTGAGAATATTGTTCTATGGGACCTTAATAGATAGTTCTTGGGAGGTGGGGAGTATTCTGTGCCCAAGTAAGTTTGAGAACTATTAAACAGATTTAAGAAGTTGCCTGAAGGCCTTCTCAGGGCCTTTAACATGTTCTGAATTTCTGAGAGAGGCTGTATATAGGATACCCAGCTTCCCCAACTTATTTATCACTGGATCAGCTAGTAACATTGTTCAGGAAAATGTTCTGAGTACACAAATTTCACCTGTTTTAGGAATTTTTACCTTTGAAAATGCGAGGACATTTTTCCAGTTGTAATGATGACGTGCTGTCTTCGCATCCATTGCTTGTCCCCAGTTCTGTGCTTCAAGTTGTGTTCCCAGCGTATACCGTGGAGGTGTCACATGCAGCCCTCCACTCAGCACCCCCGTGGTGTGAACTGAAGTTGGGCTCCCATCACGGCTGCGTGTCAGAAGTACCTGGGCAGCTTCTCTAAAAGATCAAGCTTTCTGGGCCCCGACCGTGGAGGTTCCTCGTGTGTGGAATGTCACTGTGCTCAGGAGTCTGCAGCTGTCACAGATGTCCGGGTGATTCTGGGGCACCGGCCCTGACCTCAGGCAGCGCTTCGGGGACTGTCGAACTGGGTGGGCCTGGCTTTGGCGGGCAGCTGGCTGGTGGTCCTGGAACACATGGGCCGACCATCCCATCCTGGAGGGAGCTGCGGCCCTGGCCTCAGTGACCCTGCAGGTGACGCACTGGCTGCAGCCTGGTGGGGAGCAGTGGCTGTCATCCTTTAGGAAAAGCAGCATTCTGAGGGGCTTTCCGTCACCTTCCTGGTGAGGAAATACTGTATGTGGGACGGCCGTTTGTTTTTACTTAGTTTGAGTAGCTCCCTTGTGGATGGCATTTTATTTAAACTTTAAAGAGAAGTATTAGTTTATATTTACTCATGGTGGCATCTGAGAACGTTATTCTCCCCTGTCTTCCTGCTGGCAACAGGTGGACATTTAACCTTAAGCAGATAGGCCAAGATTCTACCTCATTTGTGCTTTGCTATTAAAACTGCGTGATTATACTCTCTGCCTGGTGAAACAATTCCATATTCCTGGAAATTCCTACATATCCTACAGATAAAGCTGGAAAGGAACAATATAAATAATTACTGATGGTTTGAGAGGGAACTAGTCTTAACATATGTTGGTTGAATAGTGTTATAATAGCAATAATGTATGAACCCTAGACACACTCTTTAAAGGTAGGAGATATCCACCACTGTTTTAAAATTATTCTGCAATGTCTTGCCAACGCAATGAGACATGAAACAGATATTGAAGGTGTGGTTATTGGAAAATTGGAAATAAAATCTTTATTACTTGCCAACGAAATAGTCTACATTGCAAACCTGAGGGAAGTTAAAAAAATTAATATGTTTAATGAACTGATTAGATATGAGATATATTCAAGATTCACAGCCTTTTGTAGACAAACGTGGTTTAATATGCAGTCATGTTTGTGTACATATTAACTGGTTGGTGAAGTAACAAGTGGGCAAATTAAGCCTGCGTTGTCGGGTTACAGTGTCAGGAGAGAGAGCAGCACTGTGAAAACTCAGGGGGAGAGACGGTGTGGGGAGGCCCCGCCTGGCGAGCGTCGTGGAGAGAGCCATGAAAGCAAGTCCTGCGATTCCGCGGGCCTGGAGGGCATGGCTTCCTCCTTCCCCAGGCAGAGCGGGCTGGGCAAGGCAAGTGGTGGAAGCCAGACCACAGTGGTGCGAGAAGGAATGCCGTGGAGGAGCCAAGGCGTCTGTTGGAGTTTGCTGGTAATGGAAGCAAAGAGAGAGGTTGGGAATTTTGTTGTTGTTGGTGTTTTGTCGTTTTACCCTCGGGACCTTTGTTGTCTCCCATGGGACTGGAGGCCCCTCCGGGCAGGCCTCTGTCTGCGAGCCCGGCCATGATGGCGCTGCCTGGACCGTGCGAGCGCCCGTGCTGTGTCTGGCTCCTGACTGCCGTGAGAGCTTTGGGGTGGTCAGTAGTGGCGCAGCACAGCGCACGTCCCTGGGTCCTCACGCGTCAAGCTGGGCAGCCATGGCTCCGAGCTGGGTGGTCCCCGAGCCGCAGGAGCGGTTATGCTGCGTCTCCTGCCTCCCTCTGCTCTGCGCCCGCCGCCTTATTCACGGCCTCCTCTTGGGTTTTTACAGCTATGACCCCGAGTGCTGGGACGTCGTGATGCTTTTCCCGCAGGCCATGTGATGAGGAGCAGAGTTTGGCTTTGGTGTGCTCGGAACTGGGGGGAGTGCCGAGGCCTGGGAGCCCAGCCCTGACCGCCAGAGAGCCCCCAACACGATGAACAAATTGAACTTCCACAACAACAGAGTCATGCAGGACCGCCGCAGCGTGTGTATTTTCCTTCCCAACGACGAGTCCCTGAACATCATCATAAACGTGAGTAGATCCTGCTTTAGAAGTGTTGAAATGATTGATGGTATTCAATGACAGTATTCAGGTTATGCCTTGGTTAAGAGTGAGACCGTTAATAACGTGGTGGAATTGGGTGTCATGGTAGTCTACACAGGTGTGAACTTTGAGCTGTGGCTTCAGTGCTGCTGCCTTCAACATCCTCTCACCTGGGGGGGAAATTAGAGAGTTTTGGTTACTGTGTTACAGAAAATCGCTTTCTACTTTAAAGCTTTTTACTGAAATATAATTTTTATTGATATGTAAAACACTTTGGAGTTGTCACCTATGCACATAGAATGGTAAAAAACTGTTAGCTTTTAGATAGGCATCTTGATTTTTATTTTAATAGTAGCCTGAGTCTAGCCAGCTTCACACACTGGCTGTGTGTTTGAGCACTAAGCTGCTGTTTGTGGTCACAAGTCAGTTAGCTCTCTTAGTTAACCTGGACATGAGGAATGTGATCCTGTGTTTTTTTTCCTTTTAAAATGGAGTTATAATTTACACACAGCAAAGTGTGGGAGTCTTGAGTGTGCAGCTCAGTGAATTTTACAAGTGTGTCGTCCACGTAACCATCATCCAGCTTGAGATTCACTACATGTCTAGCACCCCAGAAAGCTCCTCTGTGACCCCTCCTGGCCAGTGATCGCCACTCAGAGTGTAATGACGTTCCCGCCTGTGTCACCACAGAGTGACAGCTAGTTTCTGGACTCCCTGCGGCTGAAAGGATGTGGCGTGTTCTCTTTTGTCTCTGGCATCTGTCCCTCGGCATTTGGCCTGTGAAATTAGTCCTTGCTGTTGCATGAACAGTAATTCTTTCTTTCATTGCTGCCTACATAGTCCATTGTATGGAGAAGCCCAATGTGTTTATCCAACTGTTATTGATGGATATTGGGTTGTTTGAAGTTTGGGGCTGTTGTGATTAAAACTGTTGGGGACATTTCATGTGTTTGCACGTTTGCCTCCGCTCTGGGTCTGTACCCGAGAGTGGACTTGTGAGCCCTAAGATGTGCGTGCCCAGGTTGGTGGAGACCACCAGACCGTGTGATGGTGCTGGCGGGTTGCAGCCCCCCTCCCTGTTAGCAACTTGCATGTTCGTTCTTTCACTGATTGTGTTCTATTGAAATTAAGGAAAAAATTGCCTTAGTGCATGCCCTGAGTTAGTTTTCTTTGCTGTATGCTAGTATATTTTTAACTCACTTGCTGTATAAAAGAATATTTCTAAATGTTATACTGAATTGTAGGGCATTAAATAGCTCCATCACTCGTAAGTAGAAGGTAAATCAAAAAACACACACATAGGTACGGAGACCAGGTTGGTGGTTGCCAGAGGGAAAGGGGCTGGGGCCAGGCGAAAGGGGTGAAGGGCGCCTGTGACGGAGACGGATGGAATCTAGACTCTTGGTGGTGAGCACGAGGCTGGGAACGCAGAGGCAGATTACCGTGATGTGTACCTCAAGTCTCTTTAATACTGTAATGCAGTGTTAGCTCAATAAAAAAAAGAGTTTAGATAGGAAAAAATTCTGCTCATCATAATTGTTTTGGTTTTATTCTCACAATCACCATAGTTTCTTGATTTACTACCGTAACCTCGTTTTTGCTCATGGGGATTGTCTGAGCATCAAACTGTCTCTTCACTGAGCCTTACCTGCTGGGTAAAACTTCTCTGGGTGAGCCGCGTGCCTGCTCAGGGTGCCTGGAGCTGTCTTTGCATGTGTGAAGTGATAGTCTGTTATTTTTGCAGCATTTGGTTTTTAAAACCTAATAAAAATTGGCAATGTATTTCTCTCTGTCAGAGACAAAACAAAATCTAATTTACTTATATACATGAATATGCTGTTTGAGTTCTTTTACGCAGTCACATAAAAAGGTAGCCACTAAATTTTAAAACTATACATAATCACGTAGCATAAGCACTTAAGAACCTTCTCTCAGTTCCATTTCTGTCTTTTACCTGGTGGAACATGTGTACGTGTGTTTGTGTGTGCGCACACCTACAGGATGTGGAACAACACCTTAGTGACCACACGTGATGGAAGGAAGACCAGTCTGACTTTGTGAGGAAGACTAAGACTAAGGCTGTAACTTTCTGAGAAATTAATTTGTACTGAAATCTTAGCTGGGGAGATAGTTTTGGAGAACAGGCTGGAAGATAGCCAGCCTGTTGTTCCTGCCTGTCGGGGGTCTTCAGACCTGAACGTGCATCAGGATTGTTTGGGGAGCTTGTGAAGCGTTCAGATGACTGCGCTTCGCCCTGGAGGTGCCGACGTGCTAAGTTGAGGGCAGGTCACAGGAACCTGTGTTTGACAGGGCCCCTGAAACAGGGGCTGTTTTTGATGTTAGTGCCATTGGGTCGATTCGGACTCCTGGGGATCCTGCCTCATCTTTTCACCTTCTGCCTCTGGTGCTGTATCACGGCCAGTTTCGTCAGAAGTGGGTGGCCAGGTCCTTCTTCCAAGTCTGTCTGAATCTGGAAACTCCATTGAAACCTGTCGACCATGGGTGACCCTGCCGGTGTTTGAAATCCTGGTGGCCTAGCTTCAGCATCACAGCAACACGCAGCCACCACAGTATGACAAGCGACAGACAGGTGGTGCAGTTCCCCAACTGGGAAAGAACCCGGGCTGCGTGGTGAGAGCACTGGCTCTTCACCACCAGACTGCCAGGGCTGGTTAACAGGTGCTTGAAGACTTTATTTATGTATTCATTTTTAAAGACTGGCACCTGAGCTAATCATCTGTCGCCAATCTTCCTTTTCTTTCTTTCTTTCTTCTTCTCCTCCCAAAAGCCCCCCAGTATGTAGTTGTATATTCTAGTTGTAGGTCCTTCTGGTTGTGCTACGTGGGAGGCCACCTCAGCATGGCCTGATGAACGGTGCCATGTTGGCCAAACTGGTGAAACCCTGGGCCGCCGAAGTGGAGCGTGTGAACTTAACTACTCACCCACAGGGCCGACCCCTGTAAAGACTTTAAAACCTTCAGCCAGACAGGCAAGGCCCTGTCTACCAGCACCATCTAGTTTCTTCACTATGCAGAACTCCATTGACTGGACTGTGTCTTTGGCCTTCTGTTGGTGGTCCAGCCTTGTTAAACACAAAGAAAACATTGGTTATTGTTAGTAATAATAATATAATTATCATCATAATTGTTGAGAAATGTTATAAAATTGTTCGCATTTGACTCCACAACTTGCTAGTTTTGTGCCTTTGGACGGATGCGTCAGCTCGCTCACCCTCCTTGCTTGTCCCAGTGACCCGCCAAGGAGCCAGCACACAGGAGGCCCTCGGCTTCTGTCAGCCCCCTTTCCGCCTTCCCTTCGTGAAGAGCAGTTGAGGGGCTCTATGGTAGGAGAAAGACATGTGTGTACCTGAAAGGCACAGGCTTGAGTTCAGATCCCAGGTCTGAGTGACTTGTGGAAAGTTCATTGAACTCCTTCGGCTTCAGCATCTTCACCATAAAGTGGGAACGATGCCCGTGCTATGATTGTGAGGACTCGGGGTTAGCACGTAGCGCAGTTCTGACACATGATAGAAGCTGCTGTTGCTGTTTTAATCCCTCCTGCAGGGCTTTTCCACTTCCTCACTCCCTTCTTGGCACAGTTAGTGAGGAGTCCCTGCGGGTGGTCAGGCCGTGGAGTCATGTGTCCTGATTAAGGAGGCCTGAGAGTCACAGGGACCTCGTGGGAGTCCCTCCTCAGTGACCTCAGCAGCCCTGGGTGGGTTGGTTTTTCTTCAGTTTCCTCATCTGTAAGGGGGAAATCATCTTCCTCCTCCAGACGTCGCGAGGATTGAGAGACAGAGCCGGCCCCTGGGAGTCGCTCAGCGCATGGGCAGGTGATCGGTAGCTCTTGTTTTACTTTCTGGAGCTCTCTGCTCATGGCATTAGGGTGCTCTGTTAATGACGCTCAGACGGAGGGTGTGCAGCCCAGGTAGGCCTGTTCCTCCCGTGCTCGTGGCCACCCCGCCACGGCCGGACCCCTCCCTAGCGGGCGGATGGGCAGAGGCGGGCCAAGTGGGCAGAGGCCGCTCCCTGCCAGGAAACTAGTTCAGGGCTGCCACGGGTCTGCCTGTTTCTACGAAGTGTTACGTGCATATTCAGAAGATAGTTGATGTTTGTAGAGGGGTAGTGTGAATGTAATAACTTCACTGTAGCAAAGCTTTTCATTAATGCTCTCATTTTTTTCATCATCTCTAAATATCTTTTAAACAAAGAAAATTTGTTCCCTGACAAGTAGAGTTGAAAGAATTTTATCATTCTGCATGTGGGGTAAATTTAGTGTTTTGGTCATTCTCAATTCTCCATGAGTTGAACTCACAGGGGCTGTTTGAAATTATTTTAATCATCAGATAAATATTTAATATGGAAACTTGGAAGATTTGGGAATTAAAATCATGGTAAATATGAGTCACAGCATCTTTGAGTGATAGAAATTGTGGCCAAGAGTTTACCTGTTCACTAAGATGAGAGAGGACGATTCTGTTTTTTTGGAGCATATTAAACGTTCTTCTTCAGTAACAAACCGTTGACATTTAGGATCAAAGGCTGTTTTATTAGAAAGTTCCGTATAGAGTATATTTTTATATAATGCTTTAGTTCTTATTCTTAATACCTCATATTATATCACACTTTTAAAGTTCCCATTGCTCCTAAAGAGTAAAGAACTTGAAAAATCTCACAGTCAGCTAAAACATAGCCTTAAAAACTTGTAATATGCAAATACAAAAAGCTCAGGCTTGTTTTCACAGCAGGTGGAGACTTCAGAGCGGCAGCCTTACTTAATTACGGTTTAAGCAAGAACACTGTGCTTGCTTGATAGCTGCTAAAGGGCGTTATCAGTGGGCTCCAAATGCTTGATTCAAATAGCGGAACAATAATAATTATGGGGGGTGTGTGGAGGAAGGTGCCGCTTTGTTTGACCCAAAGTTACAAAGTAGGTTTGTGGTTTGGAATTTCTCTGCTAACTTTTTATCACATTTTATCCTGAGTGCTTTGTTTGTGACATTTTTAAATACTACAGCCAAAACTAAGGATTAAAGGTGTCCTAGACTGTATGGCATTTTAAGTCTCAAATTTGTAGTATAGACTTCAATTTTATGTAACATTCGATACTTTTTATCATTCTGTTGAAGCTTATTTGTAAAGTGGGATTATGGTAATGTAAACCTCGAAGGTCAAAGTCTAAAGCATGAAGATGATGGCCTTTTGCTGACAGGTGGGTTCTCCCACTGGTGTTGGTGGGTGTGCACAGACACGCTTCCTAGGTCCCTAAATGGTGCATTTATAGACCAATGTGCTCAGGAGTCAGCAGTCGTGGAGCAGAGCAGAGGTGAGGGGCCCACGGGGGACGCAGACGCCTGGCAACGTTTGTTCATCAGTCGTTTCCTGAGCACCCGCTGTGTGTCTGAGTGTGAAATAAGACAGCGTCCCGGTTCGTGGGACCCTAAGCGGCGGGTCATGCTGCTCTGGCCGCACATTGGTGCCTTTGCGCTTCCAGTGGGCGCACTGCTTCCCACGAGGGGCTGTTTAACTGTAAAGGTGGGGAAGACAGAGCACCCATTGCTCTGACTGCAGTTGTCGTTGTCAACATTCTGAATTGTTTGGCTCTCAGGCATCGAGGACTCAGCGTATTTTTATTTTCCAAATCTGAGCTACATGTTAGGGCAGGATAAAAAGTCATTAGTTCAGTTAACTAATTTAGAATTTATAATAAACTGTAATTGGCATTTTCATTGAGAAAAGAATTTTCAAGTTAGTAGTACAAATGAGGGGCAATGCCACAACACTGTAGACAGCTGACGGGAGAACTGTCATGTTGCATTTGGGTTAGTGTGCACATGTAAAATATTGTCATATGCAGACGAGCAAAGTTGTGTGTGCTGCCTTTGCCACTACTAGCTACGTGACTTTAGGCTTTCTGGGTTTTATTTTCTGCTTCTATAAAAGGAAGAAATTGACCTGTGTGGTCTCTTAAAGTCACTCCCGACTGATGAGCTTTAGTGACTCTGAATTCAGCAAGGCAGACTCAGCAGAATGACTGCTCCCAAACCTCTTCATTAAACATTTGAGAAGGCGCGAAAACTGTGTCTTTTGAAGAGTGTTTTATCATTCAACATGTGACTTTTCAGAATAACTTATCCCCAGAGTTCCAAATTAATCTGGTTTTATGATGTTTGAATTATCCTAGGACTCAGAAAAGGAACCTAGTTTAGGTACTTAAAAGATATGAGCCAATGAAAGTGATTAATTAAGATAAAGAAAAGCTAGGTATTCCCTCATTGAACAGTATATGAGTGTTTTGCTTAGAAATCCAGAGGAAAACTGTCCTTGTAAAGATGCTTGCCACATTGCTACTCTTGATAACCTGGGTAGGCTGTTCGTGCTGTAGGTTCCTTCTGAAATATTCATCCTCGTGCATCATGGTTTAGAGTGAGGCCTTGTCCATGCATCATAAGATTTACGAGGTTTATACAAGATGGCACTTGCACCTCGTCACCATGTCGTGAGCATTCGTATCGTGATAATTGTTATTGACACAGCCACAGCGTACAGTGATCTCTGTAAACCAGCAGTTCTTTGCTAGTGTCAGCTCGTCCTTCCGAGGCGTGTTTTTAGGGTGCATTAAATTGCCTGCTTGTGGCCCACTGTGTGGACTTGGTTGAACTGTTAGCTCAAGTTGTGGGTTTTTTTCTCTACAGGTTAAAATTCTGTGTCACCAGTTGCTGGTCCAGGTGTGTGACCTGCTCAGGCTAAAGGACTGTCACCTCTTTGGACTCAGCGTTATACAAAGTAAGTCTCTGATGGGTTGAGCCCACTGTCCCTGAGGAAATGACATTTATAGCTATAACTTAAATTGGGCCTGTTGTTATGAAATGGTGATTGTCATCCTCCTCATAAATCGATCGTCATTGTTAGCCTAGCATTCCTTTTTTTAAACTCAACTGTTGGGTGTTTCATACAAGAATCTTAGGTCATGTATTTGTTACAGTTTGGACTTAACATAGGTTCCTCTTTAGGAGTCTAGAGTTCGTGTGTTTGCTCTTTTACGTTTGAAGGAACCAGGCTTGATTTCTGTTTCCTTGCACACAGGGAGCATCAGGAGCTAGTAGGAAATTATCTTGGGTATTTTTGTAATTTAATTTGTTTAAAAATTGTTAACATTAAATGTCTTTTAGATGTAATAAAACTGCCTTTCCTTTGTTTGAATTCCCTTGCTGTTGACCATACAGTATGACAAGGGGACCTGCTAGTTTTCTCACATTTTCTGTCTTCCCTCCGTACCCTTCTCCTTCGTGCAGTCAGGACGTAGGACGTGGAGGAGTGGGGTGCGTCTGTTCTGGGTGCTCTGTGTGGAGGAGGGTTCAGAGTCAGGGCTCTGTGGGGGCTCTCCCACGACCTGAGCTGGGGCCGAGTCCCTGGGAGTGCCTGTAGCCATTCCTTATGAGCCTCTTTCAAATCGTATTTTTAAATTTCTCTAATTTAGTCTTCTAGATGCTGAAAACCTTTTCTATCTTTGCTCAGTTTTTCAAGGAGACTCTTTGTCAAGTGCTTTTGTATTTTATACTTAGATATGAATTTTCTACCACAAGAATTGGTTTAAATTTAAGGCTTATGATATCATGAGAATCTAGTTAGTAGCATCAAATGCTTAGATCTGCCGGGTTGGAAAGCATATCCTGATCGCCTGGTAAACAAAACCCTTCTCCAAAATGCAAGCTGTGTCCAGTTGTCTGTATAGCTCAGGCTGGAGAACGTGGGGCAGAGAACACGCACATCAGGAACCCACAGATCAACCCTTTGCCCCTCAGTGTCTTCCTGTGGTCATGAGAGCAATAAAATGAATGCTCAGCTCCCTCCTTGTCTTAGGACAAACCTCAGTCGCTCTCTCAAGGGAGGGAGGAAAGGGCTGGGAGGAATAAGAAGTCCTGTGGATTCTAAGTAACTTCACTTTCGTTCTACACTCAGAGTTAATCCTTCTTACACACCTGCAGCCCAACAGTTGATCTTTGTTGTTCAACAGGTCACCCTGATAAAACCAGTTCACCACTTCCTTAGGTCTCAGAATAAGAACTTTTAAGATGTCCTTTTTAAAAGAGAGATTGCAGCATGGCGAAGGAGCATCGGGACGGGAATCAGATGACCTGGTTCCAATCTGGTTCTGCCACTAGCTGGCTGTTGGCCTTAGATGCGCCATCGACGTCTCTCAGTCTCAGTTTTCTCGTGTCAGATGGAAATTAGTGCTCCACCTGCCTTGCGGGATTGACGTGTGCCTGACAGTTCTTAAGTGTAAAGCTCTGTCAAGCCACCAGGCGGTGGAGATGTGGTGATTTAAGAATACATACCGAGCTCTTATGGCGAACACTCAGCCCTGTTCACCTTGTTGCTTCTTCAGACAGGAATGCAAGTCAGATTCAACAGCAAGGTTGTCTGCTCTTGTCCATTTCATGTACCATTGGAAGCATGAGAGGTGGGAGATGGTTTTAGTTGCTCTGTTAAGTGGATTTAAGTAACATCCACTTTTCTGCCTCTGGGACCTCTTCCCTATCCCTTTCTTCAAACTGCTTGACTTAATATGCCCTTTGCAGGCGAGGAGTAGCTTTGCCCTTCCTGTTCTCTGTGGCACTTTCCCGGCTGAACGCCCAAATTCAGGGAGAGTGACAGTGGGTTGCGTGTGTCCTTCCTTCCAGAGTGCCTGCACTTGCTTCAGGGCTCCAGGAGCGTGCCCCTAGTGACGCTCAGAGAGCGGGGACACGCTTGTAAGGAGGCTGAAAGCCTTGTACAGGACAGCGGTGCTGACGGCCTGCCTCGTGAAATCTTTCTCTCTTAAAAGATTCTCTTTGGGAAATATGAAAGTCTCTTTATGTTTTACTGGCTTGTTTTCACATGTTTAGATCATTTTACATGGGCTTTTAGCATCTTATTTGCATCTTAAGAACACCATCCCTTGAAGAAATGTTTTGGCATTCGTTCTTGTTTGGTGTAAGATTCTCCTCCTCTTCCCACAAGATCGGTGTCAGAGGAGTGCAGGTCGTGGCGTGTTGTCTTGTGCTGTGTCGTCTTGTGCTGTGTCGTCTTGTCTTGGTGTGTCATCTTGTCGTGGTCCGGCTGCTCCCTTGCAAATGGGCCGTTATCGTGAATGTGTCTAACTTCTTCTGTAGCAGGTCGGACAGTGGTTCTGCCCTGTTTCCTTGTTTTGCACCTGTGAGAAGAGTCCTCTGAGCTAAACAAAAGCATGGTTTGGCAGCAGATGTTAGCTCAGGGCCAATCTTCCTCAAAAAAAAAAAAGTAATAATTAGAAAAAACAGTCTCCAACTCCGGCTTTTTTTCCTAATTATTACTTTTTTTTTTTTGAGGAAGATTGGCCCTGAGCTAACATCTGCTGCCAATCCTCCTCTTTTTGCTGAGGAAGACTGGCCCTGAGCTAACATCCATGCCCATCTTCCTCTATTTTATATGTGGGACGCCTACCACAGCATGGCTTGCCAAGCGGTGCATAGGTCTGCACCCAGGATCTGAACCAGCGAACCCCGGGCCACCAGAAACGGAACGTGCACACTTAACTGATGCACCACCAGGCCGGCCCCTGATTATTACATATTTTTAATAGTATGTGTTCTGTATGACAAAAGCAAAATAATTCACAAGGAATCGAATGTCTAGCCCACAGAACCTTTTGTCTTTTAGTTTCCTGTTGAGTTTTGTTGGTAGTGTATGAATTCAGAGTACATTCACAAATCGTGGGGCTTTTTTAAAAAAAACCTGTTCATTTGTATATTCTTTTCTTTTAAAAAATCTGTCCTTTGTCATCTTGTCTTCTTTTTTTACTGTGCAGATAATGAACATGTGTACATGGAGTTGTCACAAAAGCTTCATAAGTATTGTCCAAAAGAATGGAAGAAAGAGGCCAGCAAGGTACGCCCACACGATGTCACCTGGGTGAGATGACGTTTGTGAACAAAATTATTTTGATTTTTTAAAAGGTTTACTTCAGCTGTTATACATTAGAAAAATATCTTAATACTTTATCCAGTAGAGAATGGGAAAAGGAAATGAACTATAAGTTCTAAAATGTCACGTCAATGAAGTGTTAATAGCTTATAGCATGTAACAATAGATTTCAGATATCTGCTAAAGTAGTGTTGGCGCGTAACCTTTTAGTAGTCTTGGGATGTGCTTTGAAATGAAAGGCATGGAAAAAGTATTTGTTCCTCTTCTGTAACTATGTTAGTTGTCAAAACTGATGTTCTGGACGTTATCAGTAATTTTTACATCTCCTTTTACTGTGCTTACGTATGATACCGTGTTGCTTTATTACACTGGAGCTTTCTTTAGTAAACACATGTTCCATTTATATGGGGCTGCTTTCACGGGGGATTTACCCAGTGTTTCCAGCATCACCCTAGTAAGCCAGGAATAAACTTTCAGTATCTGATCCGACCCTCCAATTTGTATTTAAGAATTCTTGGAATAAACTGGAGGCTGCTTCAGAGCCAGCGACAGAGTAAGGAACATGACTGTCTAAATAAACAAACAGCGTTTTAGCATTTGGTATGTGGAATGTCAGGAACAAGGGAACGCTTGTAACGAGGAGCAAATGGTCACCACAGGGGACAGAGCGAGGGGGAGCAGGAGCAGTTCCCACTGGTGTTGTTTTTCTATCCCGAGTGTTGTCGCTGACATCGCAGGGGGTGATACTCGGCACTGGGTCGAGGCTGTAGAACTTCCTGGTTTTGCACGAACCCAGTATGCAGACGGGACCGCTGTCTACCCATGGCAAGCCGCCACTCATTACAAGTAGAAAAAACCTTTCAGTGTTCAAAAAGTGGTATTTTGTTGCTTTTGAAACCCATTTTTGAAGAAACTAAAAGTAGCTTGATCTTTTATGTCTTTGTTTTAGGGTATTGACCAATTTGGGCCTCCCATGATCATCCACTTCCGGGTACAGTACTACGTGGAAAATGGCAGGTTGATCAGGTACACGGGCAGGAGATTCCGCACCTTTCTTTCCTCGTAGCGCTCATCTCCTGATTTGCCGAATAAAGTACTCGTGTTTATGGGTTTTTTCCACCTACTAAAATATAAATTCCATAAGAGCGAAGATTTTAAAAAAATCTATTTGCAAACTCACGTATCCTCAGTCGCTACTGAGGTACAGAGGCACTCAGTAAATATTGTAGAATAAATTATAGTTAGACTATCGATGAAAATGTTGACTATCGCTGGCTCCCGTTTTCTGTGCTTCACATTTTCAGTAACAAACCAGTCACCAAAAAGACACTTCATTCAAGAGGCAACTAGCCCTTGTGTGAAGAGTGGGGAACTAGACCGAAGGATGTTCCTGGTTTCTGGGGTGGGGACGGGGGCAGGAGCAAGAACTCCCCCCGTGACAACACCTGGGTGTTGATAGCACCTGGTCTTCTTGTCACCTTGGGGTCTGGCTTCTGTTCTTGGCAGCAGCTGTAAAACTAAGGCTGCGCCCACTGGGGCCGTCCCCTGGGAATCATGGACGCCGTTTGGCAAGGGCGGGAGGCTGGCTCTTCCTGGCGGTGGGCACGGGAGTGGTGCTATGCTTGGGCAGACTCAGAGTGCGTCGTTTCAGCAGCTCAGGGCCGGGGAGCTTTCAGAGGGGATTTTGTTGGCTGATAGAAAATACTGGAAGTGTGAACTCTGTGCTTTACTTGTTTATTTTTAAACTTTGAGAAACCCCAAGAGATGTGCATCTGGCTAGTGATTTATTGGTGAGATTTGCTCTTAATATTTACAGGATTGCCACATGCAAATTGAGAAGTAAAAAATATTAGTCCAGAAAGAATTTTTTTAAAAGGCTGAGAAACTTTTTAAATTATTCTGTTTATGTAAAAATTTTTACTCAGTTTACCTAGTAAGTATGGAATGCCCTGGAAAGAAGGAAAATATATTATTGAGCCACTAATTAACCCCCTGGGGCTAATGAACGTTTAATTCATCCTGTAATTCTGCCCTTTTCCCCAGGGATGAGTTATCCAAACACTGTGGTCAGCACTATAAACAAAGTCCTCTGGAAACTGCTCCCTCCCAAGGGAGAGATCGCACAGACGCCGTGTTGTAACTCTTCATACCTAGACGTGCCCCGGGTGAAATAGACCCGTGTGTTTTTATCACCATCGACTAATGAGCTATGGCTCCCAGGTCAACATTCAGCCTAAAATAATAGGGAGCAGATAAGCTCATCGAATACACACTCACACACGCACACGCACACGTTTTTTCCTTGTTTTTCCTTTGATCACAAAGGCCTGTTTGCCTGTGAGACCCTTTGGAAGTGACCGTGTTGCCCAGTCAGCACTTCTGACCCAGCGTGTTTAATGGGGACTGTGTTTCTGACCTCAGCGGATTGTAATGAGCGCATTATTGGTATTTCCATTCGTGAGGAGTGTCGTGATTGTCACATGCCTATAAAAACACACCCATAAAGTAACGGGAAAAAAAGATTTAAGGAAAGCTTCCAGTTCATTCATTCTGAGAGAAGAAAACTGACTATTTATAGTTAAGCAACTTTTTTTGTAGAAGGGCATATAAACAGAAACTTTTTTTGAAAGGGCCTTAAAGTATTGTAATGTGCTCAGCTGAAAAATAAAACAGAAAAGAAAAGCAAAACATGAGAGCCGGGTGGTCCCCTCGGGTCTGTGCTTATTTCTGCCATGTGTACAGCAGCGCTGTAGCGAGATTAAGACAATGACACACCCTGGGCTGCTCTTCCAGTGCTGTCCAATGCAGTGCTTCCATGTGGCAGTGGACGGTGCAGGCCTTTTTTCCGTTCTCTGAATGAATTGAATGCTGTAGGCCCTAGGAAATGTTATTTTTGCAGCCTGGGCAGCTGACTTGGAGTTCTGACTCCCTGAACCTGCCCCTCTTCCATGAGTCGGGAGTGGGGTGTGGGGAGGGAGGAGGGCGCAGAAACAGAGAGCCCTTGTCACAGAGGGGAGTGGGACTGGCGTTCTGTTTGCAGCCGTTGGGTTGCTCCATCAAGATGTGAGTTCTGTTTTCTTTTGTTTTCCCAGTGACAGAGCAGCGAGGTACTACTACTACTGGCACCTGAGAAAACAAGTCCTTCGCTCTCAGTGTGTGCTCCGCGAGGAGGCCTACTTCCTGCTGGCCGCCTTCGCCCTGCAGGCCGATCTGGGGAACTTCAAAAGGAACAAGCACTACGGAAAGTACTTTGAGCCAGAGGCGTACTTCCCGTCTTGGGTAGGCACTGCTTTTGGAGGCTTGAGTGTTTTCTCTAGCACGTTTCTGGTTCCTTGTGCTGCTGCTCACGTTGCTTCCAGAAACGGGGCCCCACATGTTTTATGGCTAGCAGAACCCTTCACGATAGCGGTTGAGAGCGTGGGGCACACGGTCTCTTGACGTTCTCCGTCTGCTTGTGGTTAACGGGGAAGGGACTGTGTCCCTCCTCAGGATGGTGGGACTTGCACTTTGCCAGCCTTCTCGTGGCATGTGCACGGCCTTGACCTCTTATATGCTCTTAGTTCGAGCAGCATTTTTCCCCTTTGAAAGGAGAAAACATTGCTCCTGAAAGGCGCGCTCATTCTCAGCTTTTCCCGTGCTGAGAACACAGTGCGAGTCAGCCCCCCTGCTCTGACTGCCTCGCTCTGGAGGAGCCACCTGGTGTCAGCAGCAGACCCCGCCTGTTCCCGCGCCGACCCTCCAGCCCTGCCGTCTGCAGCCGCCCTGTGCACCTGGGTCTCCATCCTTCCCCCAGGCCTCTGCTCTGACTCTCTCTCTTCGGTCAGAACATGCACACACGTGTGGCTCGCGCCTCTCCATCCTCAGGAAGGAGGAGGAGGGAAAGAGCAGCTGTCGCTCACCTTCCCTTCTCAGTAAAGCTTCTGGAAAACATGACGTCTATTTGATTTTTAGCTTCTTCGCTTCCCACACGGACTCCTCAGCCCACTTGGTCTGCCTTGCTTCCCCACCCTCCACTCCTGGTGTGTCCCTGAGGTCACAGTGGCTTTTAAATTGCCAGATCCAGTGGGCACTTTTAGCTTGTTTTCCTGAATTTCTCGGCTGCACTTGACATTCAACCACGTGCATCCTGGGAGACCTCATCCAAGCGAAGACTTTTAACAACCGCGCGTGCTGGCCGCGCCCACAGCCCTTTCTCTCCCTGGTCCCCGAGGCAGCTGTTTGCCGTAGGCCCTCACGCTCAAGATGGTCCAGCCGTCTTCCCACCTCAGTTCTCGGTACCCCTGCCTCTGCCATCCCACTCTTGACAAGCGGCGCTGCCCGGCACGCGGCACCCGGAAACTCAAGAGCCACGTGGACATCTCCTTGTGTCCCCTTTCTCCCTGCCCCGTCCAGCCAGAGTGTCTTCTGACATAAACCCTTGATGTTGATCACGCACCCCCAGCTGAAGAAACAGAATGCTCTTGTGTTCGTGTTGTTAACCTCCCAAATGTTTGTTGCTCCCGGCCCCCTGTTCTCCCGTCTGCACTCCCGGCTTGCGTCTGCGCTCGCGCTGCTGTGGAGGCTTGTCCCTGCCTCAGCCTCTGTCCACAGCTCGCAGGCCAGTGGATTCGCTCTGGTTTAAACCCTCGGGGCTCCCTGTCACCCGCTGAGGGAGGCCCGGGCTCCCAGTACGACCGAGGACCTTTGCAGGTGGTGGTCCCTGTCAGCCCTCCGCTTCCTTCCTGGCTGTCATGCAGTGTGACTCGTGCTCCAGCAGCGTCCAGCATGACCTGTGTCCCCTCACTCCTGTACTGTTCGCGCTTCTGGCCTTTCTTGCTGCAGCTCCTTTAGCCAGTGAGGCCCTTCTCTCTGTCCACCTGGCCAACTCCCGTTCCTCCTCCAGGGCTCAACTCAGCCATGTTCCCTCTGGGCAGACTGTCCGGCTGCCCCTCCACTGGGCTCAAGAAGACCCTGGACATAAGTGCATTACATCTCAATATCAAGCGATCTGTTCGTCTTTTGCCCCTGGTGAACTAAAGGACGAGTGTGGACCTGACCTTCTCTGTGTCTGGAGCACTTCTCCTTGAGGTCGACTGACGGACAGTGCCTCCACTGTCAAAGGGAAAGCGCGGAAGGTGTCCAGCTTTTAGTGTCACTGTCTGCTGGGCCACAGTCCGCCATGTTGACCTTCCCTAGCTGTCGTCAGGGACTCACTGAATCTCGCTCGTTTCGATCAGAGCCAGTCCTGGGCTGAATCCCAGCTCCCTCGACTGTGGGGTCTCTACACCCTCTGCTTCAGTGCCCTTACCAATATTTTCTGTGTATTCTCTGACCTGAAAAAGGTTGACAGATACTGATTTAGACAGTCTCTGTGTAAAAGGGGTCTACAAAGAAAAATCTGTAACTTGAGTCCTCAGCAAAACTTGATAATTGGTCAACAATTGATCACATTTAATTTAATAGGAAGAAACAAAATGTCGATATCTGTAAAAACATTTTAGAACTAAAATTTCTCTAACTTTTAAAATTTTGAATTTAAGCACTCCTCTTCTTGCTCACTTCGCATAATTCTTTCTATATGTTGTAAGTCCTTGTGGAACCAGTTAAGACTCTTAGGTAATTGACCCCTTGCTCTCGCCTGCAGCTACTGGGTGCTGGGTGTTGCTGGCATCTCACAGCTCGGGCTCCAGCCCTGTGAAAATCGAAGCCACAGTGAATTGCAGTGAACCTTTGGACAGGGCTCTTTTCCCATCACTGTTCAAATAGAGTGTTCCTATCAGCCTCTTAGGCAAAAAGCACACGGTGCAGGGAACTCCTCCCAGGGCCCCGCCTTCCTGGGATGAGCGTCTAGAACCTCCCACTCCATGGCTGAAGGGTTAGAGGAATCAAGTGGTTTCCAGAACCTGAGGATGTGCTGACAGGATGTGTGTTTCACGGTGCCAGTAATTTTGCAAGTGTAAACAGTTATCTGTACCAAATTTTGCAGGTTTGCCTGTTTTTCTCTTGGTGAGTTTAAAGCCAAGGGAGCATCTTTTCCCATTTCTCATGGTTTTTCTTCTTGGGCACACAGTGCTGCAGCTAAATTCACTCTGTAGCTTCTGCTGTGAGCTGATTCAGCCTAATAACACACGGTGAAAACAGCAAAAGCCAGACTTTCGTCTGGAAACCAGCCCGTTTCCATGGCCCATTCTGGGTCCTGGTCCTCTGGCCGTTGTGGGGGGAGGGTGTCCTCACGTCGCTCCAGCAGTGTCCCACGCTCCCCTCTCTCCGACAGGTGGTCTCCAGGAGGGGGAAGGACTACATCCTGAAGCACATCCCCAACATGCACAGAGACCAGTTTGCGCTGACGGCCTCCGAGGCCCATCTCAAGTACATCAAGGAGGCCGTGCGGCTGGACGACGTGGCCGTGCATTACTACAGGCTGTACAAGGTGCGGGGCTGGGGGCCTGCCTGCGCCAGCAGACGCAGCTTGTGTCGACAGTCGCCGTCCATTCCTGGCCGGCTTCTTACGAGTTTCGTGTGCACCGCTGTTTCTCCTGTGGGCCAGTCTGGGGGCTGCGAGCCTTCCCCAGGGGCCCGGGACCGGGGAGCCGGTCTTCTTGATGGTTCTCACATTAGATAACGTGGCTGCAGGTTGTGACCTGGCCTTTCAGTGATTACGAAATAGTGATCTTTCTCCTTCCCGAACCTGCATTTCTTCCTCGGGGAGTAACATCTGACACTTGTTTGATGGGTAATTTTCAGTATTCCTCAAAGTGAAGCCTGCATTGCCTCTATTAATCATGAGAACATCACACAGCAGCCAGGGTTTGTTGGGTGCTGTGTTTATGGGCCACACTGTATATTTATCTTTTTGAAGATTTTCGCAACTCTGTAAGATGGAAACGGTGATCTTCGTTTCACAGATGAGCACATGAGCAGAGCCCACAACACCAGGAAGTGGCAGAGCCAGAATTCAACCTGGGCCTTCCTGGGCTTACACAGGCCCCGCGTGCCCCTCATTCTCCGAACTTTGTGACCCTCTTTTGTGCCCTGTGTCTCTCTAGCCTCATTTTCCCATCCTGGGTCAGAGGTCACACACCCAAATAAGAGCTGGGCCAGGCTCTGCAGGGAACCACTCACACTGTTTACCATCTCCTCTTCTCTTCCCCTCCCCTCCCCACGCATCTCCCTGTTTCACAAGTGTCACTTGCTTGGCAAGAACTCCTGCCAAATAGGAGGGAGTCCGCCTCTTACTCTGTGACCTTAGCCAAGTTACTTAACCTCTCTGTGCTTTAGTTTCCCCATGGTTAAATGGGGATGGTGACCTATCTACCTCTGCGGATTGTTGAAGACTAAAGGAGTGGTTGGATGAGAAGGCGTTCAAGCCGTGCCACCTCAGCACGCTGTTCAGCTGCTGTTGCCACTGCATTGTCTCTTGCTTGCTGTCTCTGCTGCACCCTTGTGGCAAGGTTGCATAACTTGACCGTCATGCCCTGGACTGGACGTGGTGGGTGTTGCTGGGTGATCTTCCTGGCCGGCTCAGAAAGCTTAACAAGGAGCCAGAGGATGGTATTTTTTTCTCTTCAGTCCCCAGGAGATCACTGTTAATACCCTGTCATCCTGGGAAGCACATTGAGTTCCAGAAGATCTCTTAGGCGGAATTCTGAAAGGACTGAGTTATTTTTTTTTCCCCTTAAGAGATTTCAGATGTGACACCTCAGGTTATATGAGAAAATGCAACTAAATGACATTTTTGACAATTGGTTTATATTTTAGAATGATCTTTTGGAAAGAGTGTGGCTTTGGCATCATTTCTGAGTCAGAAGCCATGTGTCACCGCTCAGTTACTGGGATCCTCGGCAAATGTGACTGATGCTGGGCCGTGTCTTGTGTGGGCGTCATTCCAAACAGGTCACAGGGTTGGGAAGATTCTGTGAGAGAATGAAGCTCAGAGAACCGGAGGGAGGGCCTGGCACTTTCGTGAGTGCTCCAGGGAGAGTCATTGCCTCTTACTTGTTAGGGAAGCTTAGCGTTTTAAAGAATCCTGTGAGGAATTCTTTAGTGAGTACGTTTCCCCAATTTATCTTTTGTATCAAAATTAATCTTTCCAATTTGCTTAAAGTAATCTACATCTGTAGGTCACACGATACAGTTCTCTGTCTGCTTAGAACGAGATGATTCATGATTTAACTGGGTGAAGTAGGGATGTCGACATTATTGCTTCATGGGCAGAGTTTTCGTTTATTGGAGAAATCTAGTGGCAGCCATTAAAACTGCTTTGTTTAAGACCTGCTTGTAAAATGGAAATAAGGTGGAAAGAGGACAGGAAACATTCTGGAAAAATCGTCTGCACCCCTTTTGCAGTGACAGACGCCTCATATGCGCACCACCGGCCTTTTTATGAGCAGTCTCATTTCAGGGTGCACTCAGAGCAGCCCTGAAGGGAGGCTGCTGTCTTGACGTAGAGTACATTCCTTGGAGAGAACAGCCCAATAGTGAAAACGGGCTGTCTCCTCATTCCTCTGCCACGTGAGGGTGTCTTCTAAAGATGGTCACGAGAAAACTGGTCCCAAACGTAAGAAAGATCTGTCCATATTCATTTATTGTTTTTATTGCAAAATCTCATAATGAAAATATTTGTTACTTAGTAATTTTATCTTCCATTTTGAACTTCATACTTTTACCCACTTATTACAGATGAGCATTTAAAAGATGTGGCCAAATTTCAGAGTAATTCTTAATTGTGGAACTTTTTCCTTTATGCTCATAGTTTATTTTTTATAGTTTATTGTTTAGCTGGTAGGATGTGTATCATATTGGCAAGTGATAATTGAACTTCGTAAAAATAAATGTTCTTTCCACAGTAACTGATGTAGAGCTTTTACAGCTTTATTATCTGTCCTCATGAGAGAGCCTTCAGTGTTCAGGCTTGCCTCTGATTTTGGCTTCAGACCTTGCAGATTTACATTGTTTGAAACATGTAAACTCTAGTGCATCTCAGACTATAACTGACAGATTCTAATGTCTGAGAAAAGATTCAGTGTAAGATGGAAGGTAAAAAAGAATGATGGAAATGCAGCAAAAATAGTTGTTTACTGGAGTTCGCAATAGCATAAGTATTTAGAATGTTGTCAGATGTGAAAATGTATGTAATATAGTAAGAACACTAATGCTTTGAAATCTTAGAGATTTTAAAAGTAGAGTTTACCGTTATTGATTTAATGCATGCTCACGATGTTCTTAAACCTCGTAAAAAACTCAGGATGCAGAAAGATGAGCAAGGTTATTTTAAGTCAAAAACTCTCCAATCCTGAAGTTTCTCTTTCTGTTTCTTTTCTTTGGTGTTGAATTATCCATTGTAGAAGAAAAATACACTTTCTCACACAGTTTTATTCCTACAGGATAAAAGGGAACTTGAAGCTTCTCTGACCCTTGGACTGACCATGCGTGGAATCCAGATCTTCCAGGTGAGTGGGTGGGAAGTGAGTGTCAGACGTGTCCGCTGTGGCTGACGTCGATACGGCCTGTGCGGTCCTGCGCTGAGTTTGCTGGTCCCGTTCTGGCCTTGGCTGGTGGTCGCTTCCTGTCTGTCTGGCACAGGCACGGGAGGTGCGGGATGGACGTGGGTGCAGTCTGATGCTTGGCAGTAATTAGTCCTCCCGGACGCAGAGCAGCAGCAAGCGGAGGATGGGCCCGGCTCATCACTAGCAGGTCATTACCATCAGACGTTTTCCTTTCTGTGTCATTGATTTTAAATATTCTCTTTCATCCTCTGTGGTGGGGAGAAAAATGGCATTTTAATACAGTGCCTGACCAGACGTCTTAGTTTCTCTTCCCCTTTTCTGCTACAGCTTGTCCCGTGCATAGGTAGTAACTGTCACCTTTGCAGGTGGGGTGGTTTGTCCTGCAGCCGTCAGTAGGGGACCAAGGATGCATGTTTCTGTGAGACCTGGGAGAAAACAAGGCTGTCTATCTTTGGTGCAGGCGGAATATCCGCTTGTGAAAGTCAGAGCGCCTTACCTCGTCTCTGGAACGCCGGAGGCTGTGGGGCTGGCTGTTTAAATTTAGGGACAGGCCAGAAGGGGAAAGACCGCTGGGAAAAGGCCAGTTAATGCAGCCACTGAGGAACCAAAAGCTACGGAATTGTACACTCACCTTCTAATTACTGTCTGCACGTCTCCAGGGAGAGCTGGGGACCTCTTTTGGATTTTAATTACTGTGACTCAGCTGTCTGGAGAGACGCTAGGCCATTTTATAGTGTCTGTCAGTTTCCTCAGTGACTCTGTTCGTTATAACTCTTTCCACAGAACGTAGATGAAGAGAAACAATTACTTTACGATTTCCCCTGGACGAATGTTGGAAAGTTGGTGTTTGTGGTAAGTTTAAAATAACGGACTAAAATAAATTACTTAGTTGTTTGTTTTTGTGGACTTTTATTATTTTTTGTTTTTTATAAAACAATATTGTCCCAGGCACAAAAGTTGATATTTTTTAAAAATCGAAGACAAAGATAGTTAGCTTTCTTATATTCTTACGCATATGCTGTAATCCTGGGCACTCATCAATCTTTGTGGCGCTAAAAAGTGGAGCTAAAATCAAAGATTCTTACAGCCAAAGAAATTGCTGAGTTTAATTTGTGTGTCTGGTTCCCACTGCATAACCCTGGTTATTCTGGTTGCAGAAGAAATGTGGTGGGAAAGCAGTAGATGGGTTCTTCAAGTGGAGTTATTTTAAAAAGCCTGCAGCCAAGGGATGGGAAAGCGGAAAGCCGTAATCAGAGGGTAGCTTGCTCTCGGTGTGGGGTCGGCCACTCCCTCTGGAAGTTACTTCTTCTGAGCAAAGATAAAAAGATGTTTCTATTAGTATCTGACTCTTTGAAACTCGTCATTATAAAGAAAGGTCTACAATTCTTAACAGGAAAAATACTTTTATTTTTAGAATATTGGAAATGGTACACTTTCTTCTGTCAGAGCAAAGTTGATTTTTCCTGACTGTTTCTCTACGCTGACAGCCACAGCCGTTTTTGGTAGGGCTCAAAGAATTACAGTTAATGCTGTGAACATCTAGTGTCATTAAAACCCATAATGTTGCATTGTTCAGAAATTATTGGAAAAATACACAAAGAAAGGAGGAACATGAGGCTTGTCCGGGTGGGCAATCTCCCGTCAGGAAAGTGGCCCCTCGATCAGGCTGGTCGTCTGGACGGCTCTTGGGCACTGACTCCTGGCTTTCTTCTGAGTCGGGAGCCTGTTTCTGAACCATAATGGAGGGACCTCGGCAAATCAGAGCTTTTTTCCCAAATCCGATCCGCGCTTTCCCTCCACAGGGTAAGAAATTTGAGATCTTGCCGGACGGCCTGCCCTCAGCCAGGAAGCTCATCTACTACACGGGCTGCCCCCTGCGCTCCAGACACCTCCTGCAGCTCCTGAGCAACAGCCACCGCCTCTACATGAACCTGCAGCCCGTGCTGCGCCACGTCCGGAAGCTGGAGGAAAGCGAAGGTGGGGCCATCTGGGTGGGAGGCACGTGGGCCCTGCCGCCGCGGCCTACCGTGCAGCCACTGCGCCGCTTTCCTAGAGTGGGGCAGGGGCGGCGGGCCAGGTCCACACGGGCTCCTGTTTGCTTTCCTGATGGCAGGGGACGCCCAGGCCCAGTGCAGCGTCCCTGTCCACAGTGCCTGTGGCTCCCATCTTTAGTGCCCCGCCAGGACTCTCTTGACGGTTCCCCGCGCATGGCTTGAAATTCCCTGGTGTGAAGCCACTATGTGAGGGTGCAGCCAGGGTTTGTCCTCCTCACTGCGTGGCCCACCTGGGTGCTACTGTCCCCAGGAAATCCTGGGTCCTTGGGTCACACTGACAGTGAAGCAGGTCGCAGAAGCCCCTGCAGCCTCCATCGACTGCTGAGAGGCCACCTCCAGCCCAGGGAGAATGCAGACAGGGCGGAGGGGATGTTCACGTCGGCGTTTTGTCAGCCGGTCCTGGGGGAGCTTTGCTGACTCAGAACGCAGCAGACCGTGTGGGCTCCGGAGTCTGCGGCCCTGACAAGGGGGGTGATGGTGAGGATGGAGGGGGCAGGAGAGGGGCCTCTGACCCCACTCCCGCTGTGCAGTTCACCCTGATGGTTAGCGCTCATCTCAGCTGTGGCGCCCTGCGGATGCTCCAAATCACACACTCCAACTGCCGACCCATGACGCTACTTTGCACATTTGTGTACTTTTTACTGTCTTCAGTGTGTTTTGTAAAGTCACGTCGTGACAGTCTTGGTAATTCAGTCAGACGAGATTTGGGGTGTTCGTGTGGACATGAGGACGCAGATTCGTATCTTGGGTCCGCATCTGAGACAGGCTGCCCCTAGACCCGCGTGTCCTGCAGAAGCAGGGCGGACCTGCCGTCTTGTCACACACGCCCCTCAGAGGGGTTTGCCTGTCCGGCTGCTCCCGCAGAGTCCATCACCTGCACTGCTGACGCCAGCTCACTGGGGAGGAGAGGTTGCGTTTCGCATTTCTTAGAGTAAATTTCAGGGTTATTTAGATGTTTCTCTCAGTTTGAAACTGAGTGGTGCAAAGCTTCTTAAATGTTTGCGGTGGATCTGGGTGAAACAGCACCGTGAAGGGAGCAGACACGGCTGCGTGGAGCGCCACGCTGTGCCACCCTGACCTGGGCTCTGTGAGGGGGGAGACAGGCCTGGAGGGGGAGACCAGGGAGTCAGCATAGCCCGTGTCGCCCCAAGCCTGTCCCGAGGTCGGGAGGACCAGGCTGTCTGTGAACAGGCAGGAGGGCTGTTGAGTTTTTAGACCCGCGGGTCCCGATTGTCTTAGAACGCCAACACGGCAGAGCTTGTTTTACTTTTTCTTCCTCCCACCCTTCCAAGAGCCCATGGCTATTATTTCTGGTACAACAGTGAGCAGAAATGGTACGAGAATTTGCAAAGCCCTTCAGCTTCCATCTTCATCTCGCCCCTCTTGTCTTCACAAGACAGGAGTCGTTGGGACCGGTCCGGCCCTGGAAGAGGGGCTATTGAGGATCACTTTCGTGGGCAGCCGTGTGTGTGTTGGGCTCTGATGTCCAGTCCCGTCTGCCTTCTGTGTGGCTGCACACAGTCACCCTTGTGCTTCAGCCTGATTGCTTAGAATTTTCATGAATGGACTGGAGCCCAGAAATGTACACACAGCCTTCTCAATCGTTTTTTCCATTTGCATCCTGGAGAGCGTATCGTCTCTGTGCTGACTCTCGTTCCCTCTCTGGGGAGCCTGTGGTGATCACACTTCAGAGCTAGATTCAGACATCAGGAGGGCAAGTGTTTTTCACTTAACCAAGAGACAAGACAATTGCATCCAGTAACAGACCCCTGAGAGCCCAATTAGTCTGCTAGTTAGCAGTTTCTGAAATAATATCAATTTAACCGTCCCCAAACGCACTCTTCGTTTTTAACATTGTTCTAATGTGTTATTTCTCATCAGTATTAGTACCAGGAAGCTGGACTGTTTCTGTTTTCATTTCTGACCTGACACACAGAAGTCCTGTGTTGTGTCGGTTGTCCGCCTGCAGCTCAGCTGTGGCTCTGCCTCTGTGTGGCGGTCAGCTGAGTTTGGTAGGAGGCACTTTGCCACGTTGCGGTAACGACCAGCACTGACGTGTTAAACCAAAGAGCAGTGTCACCAGTCAGGACGCATGGGTGTCAATCGTCAAAACAGTAGTGATTTCACACTTGTTTTCTCAATAGATGATAAAGCCTCGCTCATTCACACTAGATGGGGAAAAGCAATCTTCATTAATGAAAACTCAAATTTTAGAAATTTTTGAAGGAAATTCTCAGAAGAATAGTTTTACTTTAAACGATATTTAGCAATTAGAGGTAAGCTAGCAGTGGGCCAAACTGAACGAATGAACAAATGAAGGACCCCTGGCCTGTGTGTGAATTGAACAGTCTTCGGTAGCCGTGCTTCTGAGCTTCTGTGTGGGGAAGGACCAGAGGCTGAAGTTTCTCGTCCCCGTGGGCGGATGCTTTTGGAGATAGAGAGTCTTGGCGGCTGTCGTGGCAGCGTCCGACAGCCCTGAGCTTCTCAGTGCGTGTTCTCAGCTGCCTGCTCGCTTCTCTTTGGCCCACTGACAGTCCGCACACTTGGAGCAGCTCTCTCTGGTGTCGAAGCTTTGAGACGGGGCCCCCAGGTCTGTGTCCAGGTCCTCGCTCCCCTGCGGGCGTCCTGAGCTGAGCTCCTGTGAGAACCGTGGGCACTGCCAGGCACTGGGGTCAGAGGTGACTGTCCCTGCTCTGGGCCCAGGGACTCGGGCGAGCTGAGCCGCCCCTGTCCTGGTCACTGGGTGACGAGCTGTGTCCTCCCCACACAGAGAAGAAGCAGTATCGGGAGTCGTACATCAGCGACAGCCTGGAGCTCGACATGGGCCCGCTGGAGCAGCGGTCCCGGGCCAGCGGCAGCAGCGCAGGCAGCGCGAGGCACAAGCGCCTGTCGCGGCACTCCACCGCCAGCCACGGCAGCTCCCACACCTCGGGCATTGAGGCCGACACCAAGCCGCGGGACGCGGGGCCTGAGGACGGCTACTCCAGCGGTGCCGTCCACCGCAAGCTGAAGACCTGCAGCTCGACCACCAGCCACGGCAGCTCCCACACCTCGGGGGTGGAGAGTGGCGGCAAGGACCACCTGGAGGAGGGCTCGCAGGACGACGGTAAGCTCCAGCCCGAGCCGCCGGCGTGGCCCACGGTCGCTGCCTGCTCTTTGCCTCTCCTGGTGGGTTCCAGATATTGGCTCTGCAGACTCGATGTCTGGAGAGCTGCTAGGGGTGGTGTAGAGAAGGGCTGTGCTGCCGGCTCCCCAGTGACAGGGCAGAGTTGCTGCTGTGTGTGGACGCAGCCCCTCCAGTCATGGCCCTTTGTCACCACGGGGGGCGGTTGTGGGTTCTGAGTCCAGCAGTGTATGTGAGCAGAGAGGAAGTCAGTCCTGCAGACCTCGTGTCTGCGTCTCCGACTCCCAGGTAAATAGGCGTCAGTTAGGACACGAGTGGATGTGCTGATACTGACAGAGATGTCGCGAACTTCTGCAAAAAAGGAACGATTGGAGCCCAGGCCATTGAAGAGTTAGCGAGTATTGCACCGGGCCGCTTAACTCTGTGTCGGGAGCTAAGCAAGACCTAGAGCCTGTACCAGCCAAACAGCATTTGTGTGCATCTGTGTTGTTATTTTTCTTTTTTTAATTACTTTTTAAATTGCAGTAATATTGGTTTATAACATTATATAAATTTCTGGTGTACGTCGTAATATATTTCGAATTCTGTGTAGGTTACATCATGTTCACCACCCAAAGACTAATTACCATCCATCACCACACACATGCACCTAATCACTGCTTTCGCTCTCCCCCCTCCCCCTTCACCCCTTCCGCCCTTCCCCCCTTCCCCTCTCGTAACCACCAGTCCAATCTCCCTTGCTATGTGTTTGTTTATCGTCGTTTTTATTTCTACTTATGAGTGAGGTCATACGGTATTTGACTTTCTCCCTCTGACTGACTTCACTTAGCATAATACTCTCAAGGTCCATCCATGTTGTCACAAATGGCCAGATTTCATCGTTTCTTATGGCTGAGTAGTTCTCCACTGGGTATATATACCACATCTTCTTTATCCATTCGTCCCTTGATGGGCATCTAGGTTGCTTCCAAGTCTTGGCTATTCTGCATAATTCTGCCATGCACACAGGGGTGCACATATCTTTATGCGTTGGTGTTTTCAAGCTCTTTAGATAAATACTCAGCAGTGGGATAGCTGGATCATATGGTAGATTTATTCTTAATTTTCTGAGGAAACTCCATACTGCTTTCCATAGTGGCTGTACCAGTTTGCACTCCAACCAGCAGTGTGCAAGGGTTCCCTTCTCTCCACCACTTGTTGTTTCCTGTCTTGTTAATTATAGCCATTCTGACCAGAGTGAGGTGATATCTCGTAGTTTTGATTTGCATTTCCTTGATAGTTAATGATGTTGAACATCTTTTCATGTGCCTGTTGGCCATCTGTATATCTTCTTTGGAGAAATCTCTGTTCAGATCTTTGGCCCATTTTTTATTTGGGTTGTTAGGTTTTTTGTTGTTGACATGTATGAGTTCTTTGTATATTTTGGATATTAACCCCTTATCTGGTATATGGTTTGTGAATATCTTCTCCCAATTGTTAGGTTGTCTTTTTGTTTGTTGATGGTTTCCTTTGCTGTGCAGAAGCTTTTTAGTTTGATGTAGTCCCATTTGTTCATTTTTTCTTTTGTTTCCCTTGCCCGGTCAGACATGGTACTTGAAAATATGCTGCTAAGACTGATGTCAAAGAGCATACTGCCTATGTTTTCTTCTAGAAGTTTCATGGTTTCAGGTCTTACCTTCAAGTCTTTAATCCATTTTGAGTTGATTTTTGTGCATGGTGTGAGATAATGGTCTACTTTGACTCTTTTGCATGTGGCTGTCCCAGTTTTCCCAGCACCATTAATTGAAAAGACTTTCCTTTCTCCATTGTATGCTCTTGGCTCCCTTGTCGAAAATTAGCTGTCCGTAAATTTGTGGGTTTATTTCTGGGCTCTTGATTCTGTTCCATTGCTCTGTGTATCTGTTTTTGTGCCAGTACCGTGCTGTGTTGGTTACTATAGCTTTGTAGTATATTTTGAAATCAGGGAGTGTGATACCTCCAGCTTTGTTCTTTTTTCTCAGGAATCCTTTGGCTATTTGGGGTCTTTTGTTGTTCCATATAAATTTTAGGATTCTTTGTTCTGTTTCTGTGAAAAATGTCATTGGAACTTTGATAGGGATTGCATTGAATCTGTAGATTGCTTTAGGAAGTATAGACTATTTTTTTTTTTTCAAAGATTGGCCCTGAGCTAATATCTGTTACCAGTCTTCCTCTTTTTCTTTCCTTCTCTCCAAAGCCCCCAGTACATAGTTGTACATGTTCTAGTTGGAGGTCCTTCTAGTTCTCCTGTGTGGAACGCCGCCTCACTGTGGCTTGATGAGCGGTGCTGGGTCCACGCCTGGGAGCCGAACCAGTGAACCCCAGGCTGCTGATGCAGAGCGCACGAACTTAACCACTGGGCCACGGGGCTAGCCCCTCTTCTTTCTTAACAAGTAAAGAATAGTTGACAGTCAAGTCGTGTCATTAGCAGACACGTAGACAACACAGCAATCCGGTGAAGAAGAGAGCAGGTAGCATCTAGTTGAGAACTGCCCCTGGAGTTTGCTATTGTAGAGGCTCCTTAGCAAGTCTGTAAATGTGCGTAATTACATAGCCTCTTCCGCATGTGGCTGTGGGTTACGGTGGCCACGTCCCTTCATGTCACCAAATGTCTTCTTCTGTGTCAGAAATAGAGATGTTGGTTGATGACCCCAGGGACCTGGAGCAGATGCACGAAGAGTCTCTGGAGGTCAGCCCGGACATGTGCATCTACATCACGGAGGACATGCTCATGTCACGGAAGCTGAACGGACACTCGGGTGAGCTCGTCTGGGAAGCTCGTGTCCTTGGGAGGCGGGTGGTCCTGGCCTGAGAAGCAGGTGCCTCAGAAACAGAAGGGGCGACGGCTGCGGACCAGGGACAGGACAGGAAGAGCCTGTCCAGGCTGTGCGGTCGACTGCAGGACCCAGTGCCCCGTGGAGCCAGGAAGGCAGAGGGCTCAGGCCAGGCTTACTGTGCTCCGCCCTGCGCTCAGACGCACTCCTGTGAGGGGCTTTGTCTCCGTTTGTGCTGCCTTAACAGTCGTCAGAGAATCCCGTGATCCATCTGGACCCTTCCGACCCGCCTCCTCCTCACACATAGAAACCTGCAGACTGGGGAGCACGGTGCCCTGGGTGGATCCTCCTCCTCCTCACAGAGAGAAACCTGCAGACTGGGGAGCGCGGTGCCCTGGGTGGACCCGCCTCCTCCTCACAGATAGAAACCTGCAGACTGGGGAGCACGGTGCCCTGGGTGGATCCACCTCCTTACAGAGAGAAACCTGCAGACTGGGGAGCACGGTGCCCTGGGTGGACCCGCCTCCTCCTCACAGAGAAAAACCTGCAGACTGGGGAGCGCGGTGCCCTGGGTGGACCCGCCTCCTCCTCACAGATAGAAACCTGCAGACTGGGGAGCACGGTGCCCTGGGTGGATCCACCTCCTCACAGAGAGAAACCTGCAGACTGGGGAGCACGGTGCCCTGGGTGGACCCGCCTCCTCCTCACAGATAGAAACCTGCAGACTGGGGAGCGCGGGTGCCCTGGGTGGATCCTCCTCCTCCTCACAGAGAGAAACCTGCAGACTGGGGAGCACGGGTGCCCTGGGTGGATCCTCCTCCTCCTCACAGATAGGAACCTGCAGACTGGGGAGCACAGTGCCCTGGGTGGATCCTCCTCCTCCTCACAGAGAGAAACCTGCAGACTGGGGAGCACAGTGCCCTGGGTGGATCCTCCTCCTCCTCACAGAGAGAAACCTGCAGACTGGGGAGCACGGGTGCCCTGGGTGGATCCTCCTCCTCCTCACAGATAGGAACCTGCAGACTGGGGAGCACGGGTGCCCTGGGTGGACCCGCCTCCTCACAGATAGAAACCTGCAGACTGGGGAGCGCGGGTGCCCTGGGTGGATCCTCCTCCTCCTCACAGAGAGAAACCTGCAGACTGGGGAGCACGGGTGCCCTGGGTGGACCCGCCTCCTCCTCACAGATAGGAACCTGCAGACTGGGGAGCACGGGTGCCCTTGCTGGCTGGAATCAGACGTCAGGTCTAGAGTTGTGTGTGTTTTCTCACCCCTGCGTCGTACTGGGCACAGGAGTCTGAGGAGAAAGGGTCCAAAAGGTTGACATGAAGAGACTCGCAAGTTCCATATTTGATGCATTCTTCCAGTTCCTTCACGGCAGCCCTCTTACAGGGTCGCATAACCTATATAATATAAAACAATGTATATTTCTATGAAATGAAAGATGTTGTCTTAAATAAAATAGCGGCAGTATCTGTTCGTTTCCAAACCATCACTCCTAACTGCTCCTGTCGCCCGTCGAGTTAGTCTCTGCCTTGGGAACCAGCACTGCCGAGTGGCCTGGGTGCTTCTTGCTCTGTGACTTGCAGCTTTGCTTGAGCGACAGACCCTGCTGCACAGGGCTGGGCTGCCACTGCCGTCCAGACCCGCAGTCTCTGATAGCGAGCCTCCGCACGTGCCGGGCAGGCGCGCACAGGGCCCGTCACGCTGGGCTCAGTCTGTGAGAGCAGGAGGAGCTGTTGCTGCAGAGCTGCGGTCGCTGCCTCCAGGCCTCCCCACAGGCCCGGCGCCCGGTCGCCTCGTCACACTCAGAGCTCTTAGACCAAACTTGGCCGTCTTTGCCCACTTGCTGTGTTATATTGCACGTTTTCCTTACAGATAGACTGCAGTGTCTTTAAACCATAACTTGACAATTACACGCACGTTATAGGTGCATGGACAGCGCTACACTGAGCTGATTGAGTAGCGATGTCGCACGCTGCTTGTCTTTGTTCTGTGGGAGCTGCCTCGAGCTGGTTCCGTGTTCCAAGCACCGGGTTTGGTGCTGACCTTTCTAGGCCGGGTCTGGGTTCTAGAGCAGACTGTGTACAGGCTTGGCAGCCAAAGGAACATTTACCAGGAAATCCAGGAGGAACTAGAGCAGGTGCCAGCCGTGCCTGTGGGGGTTTGTTCGAGAGTTAATGCCTCTTAGAAGATGAGGCTCTTTCCAGAGAAGGACCCTCTGCCAAAGCAGAGTGTGTACCCGCCAGACGTGAGCATCACCCGAGAGGTTTTAAACTGTCTGCACATAAAACGGGAGCGTCTTCATGTGACACTGAGTCTGTACTAGACCCTGAGTCACGGTGAGGCTTTCTGAGGAGCTGAGGGGCGGAAACCAGCAGAGGCCGAGTAAAGGCCAGCACTTACTCAAGGTGCTGCTTTAAAAGGTGGGGTGCACTTTGCTTAAGGAACCGTTCGGCCTTAAGGATCTCCCGCCATCTGAGGGAAAGTGTCCGTGGTCTTCTCCGTCTCCAGTTCTTGGTGGCAGGTTTACTGTCTGAAACACTTTTTCTGGGAGTTTACTCCCTGGCCACAGTCACGTAGGGAGGTGTCAGCACTGGATCCTGCTTCCAAAATGTGAGCACGGCATGATGGGCTGCACGGATCCCGGGGATCAGAACAGAGTCTTCCCCCTGGCCTCCCATGTTGGTCTCTTACTGGTGGGATCCGCTCGGGACATCTGTGCTGCAGGCTCCCCGTTAGCCAGGATGAGCTCCGAGAACTTGTGCCCCTCCGTCCTCGCCTGCGGGCGTCCGACAGGGCGCAAGGAGTGGGCGTCGGCAGTCTTCATTTCCTCTCTGTTTTGCTTTAGGGTTGATCGTGAAAGAAATTGGCTCCTCCACGTCCAGCTCCTCGGAAACAGTCGTCAAGCTTCGAGGCCAGAGCACTGATTCTCTCCCTCAGGTACGGGGGGCACTGACGGATTAAGATCAGGAGGCGAAGTTGTAGACAGTTTTAAATAGGACCCTAACGTGCACGTGTACCTAAACAAGTGAAGGTTTAGAACCCTAAGGAAATGTTTCTTACTAGATAGACACATTCTAGTTTTCCTCTGAGTTTATTTCCGTTCTGTTTTCTGGTTCCATTTATCTCCACGTTGACCTTTATTTGGGTAAATGATGTCCTTGGGTGCACACTTCATGTGGGCGGGAAGCCACTGGCCTCTGGCCTAGGTGAACTGTGTGCTCTTGACCTCAGCAACTGGGGGGAACAGGGCGTTGGGTGACCTGTGCTCACTGGTTCTGTGACGCCGTCAGGAGCTGGAGGCGAGGTAGATGCTCTGACCCACGGCTGCAGCGTGTGGCGCCCCACGGCTCACGTCCCCCCTGAGCTCTGGCTCTCTGTCCTTTTTGTTTCCACCCTCTGTGCGTCTCTCCTCTGTTTCTTTCTCTTCCGTTCTGGCTTTCTTTGCCCTTGCTTTTTTTCTCTTCTCTTTCTTCTCATTTGTCCTTTCTTTCTCTTACTTCCATTTAAGTAGCCGTAATGTGAACCTGACATCTTATAAAATTCCAGTGAGTGATTTCTCAGAGCGCTGTGTGGAGTGCGAGCATCAGGACCACGCTGTGTGGTTTGCACACCGCCTCTGCACTCAAGCAGCTCCTGCTGTACACGCGTGTGCTGGGCACAGCGGAGGGGCGGGCTCACATCCTCAAGATGCAGACACATCATGTGCATCCCGCGGGGATGTGGTGATGCCCCATGAGTCCCACGTGTGCAGTCACTGTGAGTCCTGGAAGGTCGCCAGCTTCAGGGACTGCTGGGAGGTGACACCTAGCGTGACGCCGCGCTCAGACATGATACCTAGTGAACTGTCCGTGCTCAGACATGACATGCTAGTGAACACCACGCTCAGATGTGACACCTAGTGAGACATTGTTCTCAGATCTGAGACCCTGGTGAACTGTCTGTGCTCAGGCTCTGACGCCTGCTCCTGGCGGTTTCCCTCCAGCTAAGGGGAGCCGTCTTCTCGCACAGCTGGCCTCTGTGCTGGCGGCAGACAGTGAGAGAGAAGGCCAGCCCCCTCAGTCACCTGTGCAGTATCTTCCCTCCGTGGGGTTACGAGAGCCACTTGCTGCCCTGTTTCTGTGTGGCCCTGGACCCGTCTTGGGATGGCGAGTCCTGAGTGCTCCCTGGCGGCAGAATGCGGCCTCCGCGGTCCAGGAGCTGCCTCCTCGTTCTGGGACTCGCCTCCCAGCCTTTTCTGCACCAGAAACACTTTGCACTGTTTTTCTACCCAGGAATTCTGGCTTTTATAAAACAGTTCTTCAGACTGTGTTTCTTAATCGTTGGCTTGTTTTCCCCTTTCTTACTAAAATGATAACAGCCCTCGGCATGGGAGGGTTGCCACGGTGAATGCTGCGTCCTAGTGGAAACAGGCAGGGTCTTTACCCGCCAGCCCGGTCATCTGGCCACTGCTCGATTTCTGAGATGCTGCCGACACTGGATTCTGGATGCTTCTCCTCTGTGCCGTGGATTGTTCGTCTGTCGAGTGGGGCTCTGGCCTCCTGGGCTGTGGGCGGGTCCGTGGGTTAGCATGAGTGGCTGGTGCGGATCAGGCCTGCACGTAGGGAAGGCTCTGTGAGTGTGCGCTGCTGCTGGCGGTGTCGGTGTTTCCCCACAGACTCAGGCTGGAAACCGCTTTCTGAAGCGTGGGGACTCCTTATACCTTTCTAGACTTTGCAGCCTCCCTCTTTACCGGGACGTTGCTTTCCCTTTAGTCTGTCCCCCTAAAGTTGTTGCTCCCTCCCTTACTTTCCAGACTGTCTGCCGGAAACCAAAGAGCTCCACTGACCGGCACAGCCTGAGCCTGGATGACATCAGACTCTACCAGAAGGACTTCCTGCGCATCGCCGGCCTGTGCCAGGACACCGCGCAGAGCTACACGTTTGGGTGCGGCCACGGCCTGGGCCAGGAGGGCCTCTACTGCAGCAGCTGCTTGGCTCAGCAGAGCGTGCACATCCAGGACGCTTTGCCCGTCAAAAGAGCCAGCAAGTACTTCTCTCTGGACCTCACTCACGATGACGTTCCGGAGTTTGTTGTGTAAAGTGCACCGGCCGGCAGCCACACGGCGGCCTGCCCTTTGCTGGGGGCCGCGGGGGCCGCGGGCGGCTGCTTTGCTCATCATTGTGCCATATTTCCTTCCCCCAAACACCCTCTTTCTTTACGATATTTGTGACGGAAACAAAAGCCTTGGGACAGTTGCACTTTAAGGACCGTGCATAGGTGCAGGGACTGCAGGGGACGTCTAGACGGCGCCCAGAAGTTCACAGCCTGTGGCGGGAGTGCCTTTGCTGGTCAGCCAGCCTTCAGAGCATCGAGCTGCGGTGCGTTCGGTCGCCGTCTTGTTTTCTCATTCAGCTGCCTGTAATGTCACGTTTTTTATCACGTGAAACATGTTGTTAGATGTTTGCTGGTAATTTTTTTATCGCTCCCTCGTGAAATGGTCATGTTTTGAGGGAGGAGGAGGAAGAGTCGCCTCTTTCTGTGGGGAGACCGTTGACGCGCACAGGGGCTGTCCCAAAGAGAGCCCTCGCAAGGCCGTCACAGTCACGTGGTTCTCGAAAGCCAAAGAGTCGCTGTACGGAGGCATCGCCCAGGAGGGAGATGTGAGTCAGCAGTCAGCAGGGGACGGCACGCTGTGATGCCATGACTCCTTCGCAGCCGGCTGCACCCGGCCTCCTCTCCCAGAAAGCTCTAGGCCTCAGCTGAGTCCTCATCCAAGGAACCCATCAGCTGTGTTCATGTCTTAATGTATCTTGTGGCGTTTCAAAACCAGTTTCTGTTACAGCTACAGAAACGTCTTAGAAAATGTTTGTGCTTGGTGTTCGTTTTTAATCAAGAACGAATTATGGTAACGGTAGTTTCTGCTTAACCACAATGCCCTAACTACATGTATGCGTAACACATACATAAATCCACTAGGCTGTGTGTGTCTGTATGTGTGCAAAGCTTGCCGCTCTTTATTTTCGCCTCCATGGCTGTCTGGTCCACACGGCTTTTCTTGTCTAATACGGAGGATGTGTCATGGAATGCGTGGTGCCTGCAGACAATCACTTGATGGAGAGTTAAGAACAACTGTTTCCTCACGTGTCTTTTCCTGTGATTCTCAACCCTGGTTGCATAACAATTATTTGGGGAGCTTTTAAGGAAATAGCCATGTCTGGGTCCCATCCTGGGTGAATTAGCTCAGTGTCCTGTGGTGGGACCCAGGTGGGATCGCCTCTTCTTTCAGAGTTCTCCAGAAGGAGCTCATACGCGGCAGAGTTGGAAGCCACTGGTTCAGAGGGCGTCTCTCGTGGATTTTGAAGCAGAAGTGTGTGGGAGATGTTAGTGTTTGAGAAAGGGCCAGTTTTGAGACGGTTTCTGCCACTGCTGCGAGGCGTCCAGGGCAACCAGGTCGGGAGAGCAACTGAGCCTCCGCAGAGCGCGTTGCTCAGCACAAGGTCTTTCTACGGGATGTTTTAATGACCAAGTATTTTACAACATTTGTTTACCATATTTTAATATACCATTTTTTCTATCTACCAGGTTTTATTAAAAAAAACTATATATTATTTTCTAAAGAAACAGTCATATTTTTATACAAAATTGTTTTCAGGTAACAAAGAAATAGACTTAGGGTACAGCAGACTTGCAGTGTTACCCCCGGTGGGAGTCAGTATTACACACATGGAGATCGTCAGCACGCCCCACCTGTGGCACCTCGTGTCCCCACGTGGATGTCACAGGGCCTGGTGGACTCGAGCCTGGTCAGAGGACTTTAACTTGACACCTCAGAAGGCAAAAAAGTTCTGTAGTCATGAATTATTTTGCTTTAGCAAGTGTTTTAAGAGAACCAAAGTTTGAGCTTCAGGCTGTACGGACGTGTCTGTCTCTGTATAAAGGATGACAGGATCATCTAATGACTGTTTCACTGGTGAGTCACTCATAACCACCATTTCTTACGGATGCTGGAAAGAAATCCTGGTGAAGTTTGGCTCTAAAGAGCCCAGATCATAATGTGGGGCGTTTTCTTGGCTCTTGGTTCCTGCAAAGATCAAGAAAACCCTGTTTAATTAAATGGGTCGTGCTTGCACTTCCTTCTCTCTACTCCAGCCGGAATCGGGCTCCCGGGCTCTGCCAGCATCGTCGGTGGTCTTGCACACCCTCCTTGTAATGGGGTTTATGAATAGTCTTGTGGGTTTTCAAAGATGAAACATGCTAAGGACACTTTTGCTTTTTGATCCACTGATTGCAGCAGGAATATATATATATATGTATATGAAAATCCATCTTGAATATCTACATTTTTGTATTTGAAAATTGTTTTAAAAAAATAAAAAAGGAAAAGAAAAGTGTAAAGCTGTTATTTATTCTGCGTTTGTTAACATGCGTTGCCAGCCAGCCTCCCGACGTGGGAGATGTTGCCTCCACGCGTTTTCATTTGTGTTTGCACCAGTGAGCTTTATCTCTGCGTGAACTGTCAGAGTCCTTTCTGTGAAAGGATCATCGTGTCAGGATGGCACCAGTGTGTAAAAAACTGCACTATTTTGTAACTATTCTTATAGGCATTTCATGGTAAGATTAGCAGTAAATAAAGTTACTTTAATTTGTCTTTGAAGTGCCTTTTTTATTGTTAGAGTTCTCAACGAGGCAGAAAGCGTCAAAGAGTCAGTGTTCCCTTTGACTTTCTTTCCTGTGACAGAGCACACGGAAGGTCCGGGGTGGTGCCCCCCCCCCACCCCCGGTGATGATGGTGATGCGGAGCCGAGCCCCGCCGTGTGCCAGCCCCCACTCCACGTGTGGGAGGAGGCCGTGTGCCAGCCTCCGCTCCTCCTGGTCCTTGTGCAGTCACACGGCCTTGGGTGGTCCCGTCACTGTGGACGTCACGGAACGCATGGACACAAGCCAAGTGGTCCAGCGGCTCCACGCCTAGGCTCTGGTGTAGCCTGCTCTCCTGGGCTGCAGACCTGCACGGCTGTCACTGCACTGCGTGCTGTGGGCAGCTGTAACCTGCTGGTGAGAATCTGTCCTAGAGAAGGTACAGTCAGAACACAGCATGAAAGGTAAACACTGGTACACCTGAATAAAGCACTTACTGTAAGTAGGACTTGGTCTGGGTGAGTCGGTGAGTGAGTGGCGAGTTAATGTGAAGGCCTAGGACATTGCTGGACGCTGGACTTTATAGACACTGCACTTCGGCTACACTGAAACATAAAAAAATATTTCTCTTCAATAAGTTAACTTCAGCTGATTTGGTGAGGAAGACTGGCCCTGAGCTAAGATCTGTGCCCGTCTTCCCCTACTTTTTGTGTGTGGGATGCCTACCACAGCATGGCTTGATGAGCAGTGTGTATGTCTGCGCCCGGGATCTGAACGTGAGAACCCTGGGCTGCTAAAGCAGAGCACGCAAAGCCAACCACTGTGCCACCGGGCCGGCCCCTGACTAACTTTTTTATTTTATAAACTTTTAAATTTTTTTTAACTCTTTGGCTCTTGTAATACAGCTTAAAACACGTGGTATAGATGTACAAAAATATTTTCTTTGTATCCTTATTCTGTAAGCTTGTTTATATTTTTAAAATTTTTATTTAATTTTTAAGCTTTTCTGTTAAAAACTAAGACAAATGCACATTAGCCTAGGCCTGCACAGGGTCAGGATCGTCAGTAGCACTGTCTTCCCCTCCGCATCCTATCCAACTGGAAGGTCTTCAGGGGCAGTAACAGGCATGGAGCGGTCCACTCCTATGATAACACGCCTTCTTCTGGAACACCTGAAGGGCCTGCCTGAGGCTCTTGAGGAGATGTCACTCTTCGGAAAATGTCCAAGGTGGTTTGCTTGGTTTGTTTCCTTATTCATCATAGATCTGCTTTTAAGTAGATAATGCACCACAAACATTCCTCTCTACTAATGAAAACCTTTTGGTGTTGGGTCCATGTTTTCAAACTTTTCAAGGAGCTTGGTGAGGTCTGAAAAGCTGCTGCTACATGCTTCACTGAATTTTCTTGGAGGTTCTTCTTATTTTTGTTGTAGTTTCCTTTTTTCTTGCCTCTTCTTCGGCTAAGCATTCCTGTGCCAGGTCCAATGACTCCTCATGAGTCAGTTCCTCGGGAACCACCTCTAGGAGCCCCTCAGCGTCATCCTCATCCACGCCCAGGTTGAATTTGTCTGCCTTCTCAGCCACAGCTTCGTTTCCTTTTGCCACTGCCTCATCCTCGGCAAATCCTCTGACGCCATGGACAGATTTCCTGAGTGTCTTCTCCAGATGCCATTCACACACTCCTTGGTGATGTTACCCCAGGTTGAAGCAAGGTTCTTGATGCAATCACAGATGTTGTAATCCTTCCAGAATCACATCAGTGTCTTCCTCAGTTGCAGCAATAACCTGGGCAAAGGTCCTCCTCAGGTAGCAGGCCTTAGAAGCTGCTATAATCCTTGATCCATTGGTTGGATCAAAGAGGTGGTGTTTAGAGGGAGAAATATGACTTTGATATTGGGGTGGAGATCATCAACAAAAGAAAGGTGTCCAGGAGCATTATCAACAATAAGCAAAATCTTGAAAGGTACATTATTCTCCAAAGAGTACTCCTCCATTTTGCTGGCCCAGCAATTCAGGAGGGCATCTTGGAAGAGGAGCTGGGTCATCCATGACTTCTTATTGCTCCTGTAGTACACTGGCAGTGTGTGCCTATGCTTGAAGGCCCTGGGGTTCTCCCTGTGCCAGATCACAATGGGTTTAATTTAGTAGCCTGCAACATCGCCCCCAGGCACGACAGTTGTCCTGTTCTTAACAGCCTTGAAACCTGGCGTTGAGTTGGCCTCCTTGTGGATGGAAGTCCCTTCAGGCATCTGTTTCCAGAATAAGGAGGTTTCTTCCATATTGAATATTTGCTCTGGCAAGAAAGTTCCCTCTACAATCAGCTTATCTAGAGTTTCCAAAAGTCCTTCAGCTGCCTTCACATCAGCACTCGCAGACTCACCACTCACTTTCTCATTCTGTAACGAATAATGATTCTTGGATGGTTTAAACCACCCAGAGCTAGCGGTAAATTCAGCATCGTAGTTGGTCCAGTCTTGTCTTTCAGCATTGCCACCATTTTGCTTTTTCTGTGATTGTCGTGGTGCTGAGAGGGATACGCTACTGTCTGCGCTTCAGTCCAGGTCATTAGAAGTTCCTCCAGGTCTGGTAAAGGTCCTTCTCAAATTTTTGTCAGTCTCACTGCCTTCAATGAAGCAGACCCTTTAAGAGCTTCCATAACTCTGTCCTTTTCCTTCAGGATCGTAGCTGTGGTGGAATGGGACATGTCCAACTGGTGAGCAATCACCATCACTGATTTTCCACCTTCATAGTCCTTAACCGCTGTTAATGTCATTTTTCCAGGTCAGACACTTGATGTGGCCTCTTACTGGCAACGTTAGCAGTGGATTTGATGTACTTGGGGGCCATGATGAACAAAACAACACAGATTAAATCAGTCACAAGAGAAGTGACATAAACAAGAGACAGTCAACACACGCCGCATGAGGCTGCTGCCCGTGTGACACGTGTCCTGTTTTTACAGGGGACTTTTTATAAGTAGGAAGAATACCCTTTAGAACAACCAGAGCGCTAACAACTAGAACATACAACTATGGACCAGGGGGCTTTGGGGAGAAGAAGGAAAAAAAAAAGATTGGCAGCAGATGTTAGTGCAGATGCCAATCTTTTTAAAAAAAACAGAATACCCTTTAGAATAATGATAAAAGTATGACATAGTAAATCCATAAGCCAGTACCACCGTCGTTTATTATCATTGTCAAGTGTGACGTGCTGTACGTAACTGTGTGTGCTCTACTTCCATACGACTCACACTTCAGCAGCATCACCACAGACTCACGGTAACGCGTGCGCCACGACGTCATGACGGCTACGACGTCGCTAGGGAACAGGAACTTCCAGCTCCATTATAATCCAATGGACCACCGTCCAACGTGCAGTCCGTCCGGGCAGGAACGTCGTCAGCGGCCATGACTGTCTCCATAAGGCAGGTCCTCGTTACTCTCAAGTTGGATGTGAGGGAACAAGGCTCTGCGGGGCAGTGTGGCCAGCGCTCTTCATCCCAAACTGTGGGCTGCGAGGGCCCTACTTCGTAAAACATAATAGTTTCCATTGTTAAAGTTAAAATTAATTTTTGCCCTTAGAACAATCATCGTTGGAGCATTGGTTTTAATTTCAAAAAAAATAAGTGGTCGCATTTAAAAGCGTGCATCCACAAGACCACACGTGAGGGTGGTGTGGCACAGGGGACCGAGCCCGGAGCTGGTCCACGGACGGGGCTCTGAAGAGCCCGGCTCTCCTGCAGAGGGAAACCCGGTACCTTCTCTGTGCTCCAGGCTTCTGGCTATAAAACAGCAGTAATAATGCAGAGGACTGTTGGGGTGAAGCAAGGTAACAGGTATGACAGCCCCTGATGACCAGCTGGGGAGAGGGGGGTTTTCAAATCTAACAAACGTTCAACTTTCATAGAACCGAACCATTCGGTCATTTGGAAGCATACAATCCAAAAAACGCTTTCTGGTGGAGTGTTACTCGTGAATTTGCAGAGCATTTGGTAAACTGCAGGTAAACTAGAGGAAAGGGAAGAAAATACGTGGTTACCGACTGTGTGTCTGAACTGACGCACGCCGTGTCTGCTCTGCACAGTACTCCCGGCAGCTGCACCCTCACTGTCCAGCTGAGGAAAAGTTCAGCTTGCCCACGACCCACGGCTGGTCAGTGATGGAGCCGAGTTTCAAACCCAAATCTGTCCCCAAAAGCTTTGCTTTCTCTGCTACGTACAGCGTTACCACTGCCCTTAGAGAAAGCTCAGGCTCCAATAGGGAAGACGGACTCACAGTGTTGATGCTGTGATAAAGGAAACTTGTTCACGCACTAGTGTTTTTTGAACGCCCGCTATCTGCCAGACACACACACAAGGCTTGTAGAGGTTTCGCCTTGGCACAGGCAGGGAAGACGTGGGGCAGGAAGTGGGAGGGGAAAGGTCAGAGAAGGTTTTACTGCGAGGAAGAGCCTTGAATGGGGCCTTCCAGTGGGATGGATGAGGTACAAGCTCTATGGGCAAAGGCGGAGAAGCTGAGACACCCAGGCTCATGAAGGGACCTTTGGCTTGAGTGGTGACTCTCCAGCCTAGTCATGAACGGCCTTGGGTGCCCAGATGAGGACACTGAGTTTTTTGTGGACAGCAGGGAGCCACTGAAGGGGGTTGGAAGAAGAAGATGTGTCTGGAGTTTGAGAGAAATCATGGAAGCAGGGCTGGTAGAAGGCGGGGAGGGAGCAGCCAGCCTAGAGGATGACGAGGACCTGAAGACGGCATGGCAGCAGGGAGAAAAAGGAAAAGATTCAGACGCTGTGCAGGAAGCAGAATAACAGGACTGTGCCCCCGCCCCCGACACACACACACAAGGCTGTCACCTCCCAAGCTAAATATTGGAGGAATAGGCAATTTTGCCCTACTTGGCAATGTTCTTGGGAGGACTGAAGAGTTAATTACTGCTCTACATTATGAATTAAATCTACTCTGCATGAACACTTTGAAAATTGGTGCGATGGCCACAACCACTCCAGTCCACTACGGTGG